GATTAAATGATTCTAGATTCTATATATATACATATCTAATTATATCCCCATTGTGGTTGGAATTGTCCCCCATAATGGGATCCTACAAAGGGCGTACAAATCCCAAATAATGGATTGAGAACACTAGTACAACCATCCCCCAATGTCGGTATACAATCCAACTTTTGACACCAAGACAATACCAAGCATCCTCATGTTTTATCAAATTTTCATGGTTCCAGTGTTTGGAAAACCCCAGGACCTTCACGTTCTGACGCATGTAGAGTCGCCAAAAAGCCCAGCACACAGCCACTTGACGTCGGTCACAGGGATCCTTGGAATGTGGGATCCACCGCCATAAAAACGTGTATCCCATTATAATCATTAGACGTATACATGGGCCTAGTAATAAACCCCATGTAAGCGGGATGGGTTCTTATTGGGCTTACCATGGCTTAACGATGATCCAGGGTGCGCTTTGATGCCCCATCAACTTTCAGGAAATGTGGTTAAACACTGTTTTTATGAGTACTTGGAGTGTCTGGGTAGATAGAATATGGATTTCTCTAACATAGTACCATTTTAGTAATACCGTATTTCTTGAAATGTCCATATGATGTATATATATATAATTATGTATATAATTATATATATATATGTGTGTTCTAGGGGAGGATGGGTTCGGTACTGCCCGTCGGGCGGTGGCGCGCCTCTTCTCTTCTAGGGATAACTATTCATAGATACTTTGCAATGCTCGTTGGTGCAGAATCCAAATGCATTTACACATCAGAAGTTTTCAACATTTTTCACGCTCCACAGGGTCCATGAAAAACTACCGCAAAGCGTTTGGATTTAAATCTTTAGGGTCTATTCATTTCAAATCTGGTTGGTGGTTTTAACCATCTTGAAAAATATGAAAGTTACTGGGAAGGATTATCCCATATATTGTGGAAAAATAAAACATGTTGCAAACCACCAACTAGAAATTTATTTTAAGTGTTCCCGACCGAAAGGTGGAAGATTTTCAGAACCATGGGTACGGTCCCATTCTGCTGCTAGCCTTTTGGCCTTTGCAGGCCCACAGCCACAGTCCGCTCTCGCCAGGTGTCATACGCGCCAATAGCCAGCACAACACTCCTGCGTCGAGCGAGTTTGCATGGAACTGGGCACATGGCCGATGACAAAGACATTCTTTCGGGAATCTATTCTGGCATTCTATCTGGCGTTCTATCTGGCATCTCTATTCTGACATTGTTTCTGGCGTCTATTCTGGCATTCTATCTGGCTTTCTATCTGGCTTTCTATCTGACATTCTATTCTGGCATTCTGTCTGGCATCTATTCTGACATACTTTCTGGCATATATGCTGACATTCTTTTGGGCATTCTATCTGGCATCTATTCTGACATTCTGTCGGAATCTATTCTGGCGTTCTATCTGGTAGTCTATCTGGCATCTCTGACATGGGCACTGCTGGACCTCAACCGCGAGTGCCAAATCTCAGTGGGCACTGCCGGACCTCACTGCGAGGGTCAGATCTGGAGCTCGCAGTTGAGGTCCGGCAGTGCCCAGTGAGATCTGGTACTCTCAGTTGAATTCCGGCAGTGCCCGAGGAGAAGAAGGAGAAGGAAGAAGAAGAAGAAGAAGAAGAGGAAGGGGGGAAGGAGAAGGCAACTCCAATAAAATCTAGCTCACCTGGCAGGTGGGAAAAAATGAACCCCTGGAATCCATGAAGCATCATTTTCCTTTGGACCATGGTGGGTTACCACTTCAACGTTACGTATTTTTCAAGTATCCGATACTGGTATCGTAACCCGCAAAGAGATAAGCAAGTTCAATCCAAATAATTCATGTCTGAACATTTTTTGAATTCAAACAAAGTTCAATCCAAATACCACCTGGTAAACTAACATATATAGCTATTGAAAATTGCCATTTATAGTTGATTTTTCCCATTCAAAATGGTGGATCTTTCCATAGTTATGTAAACGTTTACCAGAGGGTATATCCCATTATTAACCATTATTAACATTTATTAACCATTATTGACCACAATTATTAGCCATAACTGGTTGGTGGTTTCAACCCCTCTGAAAAAAAATAGTGATATTATCCCACCAAAAGCAGCCTCACCTCTGTAGGAAAGCACAGTTTTTCTTGACCTCCGCGACCACTGCACCTCCAGTGCCCAGTCCCCAAGGTGGTGTGGTCAGTGATCCATGGGGTCACCGTCACGAGACCAGGGAACTGGACATCGTTTGAAACCCCCAGGATCCATGCCATTGCTACATCAAAATTGGAACATTTATATTCAGGAACCCGAACCTCAATAGAAACCCTAGCATCTTTAGTTCTATTAAGGCCATCCAATATATTTCTGTGCTAGTTCATCCCTCATTTATATTATTTTATAGCTACCTCAATAGAAAATACTGGCTCCATCCTAGTCCATGTTTAGTTCTATTCAGTATTTTCATCCTAATCATCACCTAATAAAATACTAACCTAGCAAATGCTAACCTAGTTAGGATGGATCATAACCTAATGATTACCCTCTGGCAAACGTTTACATAACTATGGAAAATCACCATTTTTAATGGCTAAATCAACTATTGCAAAATGACCATTTTCAATAGCTATGTTAGTTTACCAGAGGTTATATCCAAATAATATCCCATTGAATCACTATAAATCGCATTAAATCACTATAATTTCCATCAAATCACTATAAATCACTATCAATTTCCATTAAGTCACTATAAATCACTATCAATTTCCATTAAGTCACTATAAATACAATTAATATCCCATTAATATCCCATTAATTACCAGAGGGATCCCGGTTATATTTGGTCCATCCCAGTCCCAGGATTCCCAGGGAAAACCCCATCCACCGAGCGTCGCCAGTGCAGCACCATTCGGTGCAACATCATGCGATCGCGCTGATGTCCTTCGCCTGGGCGAAGAGAAGCTGTGCTTGGTGCTTTGATCCGAGTGATGGTGACATTTCGTGTGGCTACTGGGACATTAATGGATAATACACATAACAAATTAATATATATATATATGTGACATATATGTGACATAATATATGTATATGTTAATATATATATATGTGATAATATATATATGGTAAATGACATAATATGTATATAATATATATATATACTATTACTCGCATAACCAGCAATATGATATGGGGATATCATGGAATACTGATGGGAACAATACTGGAAAATCTAAATCAATCTGGTAGGTTCCCTGTAGATCTTCCTAAAACCACTGCTAAGAAAGGATGTTCTGTTCAAAAAAACAAAACACTCACCAATGTTTCTGGTCAATTGCTACAGCACAGAATTCTTGAGTCACAACCATATAGATAAAGTATTGTTCCAGTATTGATGTAGAACATGGTAATTTATGGGGATAAAGTGGTTCTACAATGTTCTACATCTCCGTTGTCCTTGAACCCGCGATCCCTTGGGGCCCACTTGGCCCAGCGTTTCAGAAAGGTCCCAAGATTTCTACGTGGCGCATGGAGATGGAAAGTACATGAAAATACAAGAGCCTCATATGTACAAAGATACAAAAAAAATACTAAAAAATACTAAACCCCCAAAGAGGCAGACACGTGTTTCCAGAATGATATAGATGATATGCTCCCCATATTTTCCGGTTTCCATCTTTTCTTTCTATGATTGGGGGCTATCATAGGTTAGATGATGCTGTATCACAATGTTCTTCTAGTTGCTGCCACTTACCGCTGAGTTACTTGGTTTTGGACGGACACTGGAACGAAACTGCGAAACCGAACCAAGCTGCCGAGTGCAAAGCGTTGGCGCTCCTCTCAGGAGGAAACAGGCATACCCTCCATTAGTTGAACATAGCATCCACCTTGTAATATTGATTCTAACCTGGTTAATGCCACCGTAGAAGCATGGCCTTGTATTCCAACACACCTCCCAGTGTCTTGCTTGTAAAATGGAAACAAGGTGTTGGTATAAAATGACAGATTCCACATTTAGAACATGCTAGATTTTTTTTGTTGTATAAAATGTGTTGGTTCTTTACTTCTAAAATGTCAGACAGAACATGCAAAATCAACCATGCCCCGTCTGACAGTTTGGGAGGAAACAACACTTGCAACTGAAGAAAAAACAGTGGCATACCACTGGTTTCTTAGAAAACGCAATGATCAAAAGCATTCAAAAACAATACAACAACACAATATTTTGTTGGTATATGTTTTAGACTCTACAAGTATCTCTCTGTTGCTCACTTTTTCATACAAAACATGGCAGTCTGACAAAATGCCTACTAGACTACCCTGGCGAATAGGTATATAATTTACGAGGCATCACCCTTTTGGCATCCTGTTTTGAAGAAATGGGGACCTTTCTCAAATGACCCTGAAATCCGAAGCCAGGTTGATGATGTCATAGGGTTATTACAAGGTGGATAATATAGCTATAGTATATATATTATAGTATACTATAGTATAGATGACCCGTTTAGTTTGATGATTTACCACAAGTAGTTCAACATGGTGATTTTCCAATGTGTTCAATTGCCAGACGGCTTTCGGCGCTTTCAGTGCCAACACCCCTATGGGGATCCCACATCGGAGCTTTCTCCCCCGGAGTCTGGCGCCCACAGCGTGACTGAGTAAACCCAACACCGGACATTCGGAAACACCCATGCAAGGTGGTGCCCCCAAGATAGCTAAGTTGGTTTATAACTCCAATAACTATGGTTTATGGTACTTATAACTATAGTTAATGGGGTTTATAAACCAACTTATAACTGGGGGGCCCCACCTTGTGGAATATCCCACCATCTTCCAGTGTTGGTGATATTCCAACTCAACTCCCACTCAACTCCCCAAATGGTGCCGCATTCTCCCCATTTTGCGGCGTCCTTCTGCTGCCGAAGACTTCTCACCGCATGTGACCAACGCAGCAAAAAGCCCAGGGCCATTCTTCGGTCCTGGGACGTCTGGGACGTGAATCGCAGCTGTGGATGCTGCTGGGTGGTTGAGCCCTAGGCCCTAGCCCTCTGAAAAATGATGGACTGAAAGTCAGTTGGGATGATGACATTCCCAACTGGAATGGAAAAAACATGTTTGAAACCACCAACCACATCTATCTATCTATCTATCTATCTACCTATCTACCTATCTACCTATCTACCTATCTACCTATCTACCTATCTACCTATCTACCTATCTACCTATCTACCTATCTACCTATCTATCTACCTATCTACCTATCTACCTATCTATCTACCTATCTACCTATCTATCTACCTATCTATCTATCTATCTAGCTATCTATCTATCTATCTATCTGGTTGCTTGATACAGGCCCAAAAGGGAGTTTCCATAAATATAGGGTACCCATGGGTACCCCAAGATCGATGGATGAATTATTTCCATGGGAAATTCCAAAAAAGAATCAACGAATCAACGCATGATTTCTGGGGGTACATTTTTAGGAAACCTCCATATGATTGGACCATAACTCCCACTGTTTTCCCTCACTGGAATGATGGTGAATTCGAGGAATCATCCCCTTTAGGAAACCTCCATACAGAGTGAAGGACTATCGACGATCAACTTCTTGGTGAGTGATGGGATCATATGGGATGATATTATAAGATCTATGGCTTATGAATCTATAACATGATCATTTTATAAGATTATGATGATCATCTGGTAATATTTAATGATTAATGGAATCTATGGCTATGAAAAATCATCCCAGAATCATGGAAAATCATCACCATATGGTCTATGATCAGATTGAGATTATGGTCATCTGCTGAGATCAACCAATCCTGATCATCCCAAAATCCCCAAATCCCAAGATCTCCGAATTTTGACAACGCTCCGAACTTTCGAATGGGAAACTGGGGGCCCACGGATCGTAAATGGGTGAAAAAGAAACAGTTATATATGGAATATATCCTACAATATATATATATATACATATGGGTTGTATATGGATTATAAACCACATTAAACCACTTACTAAGTGGGTGTGGGTCAGCTTGCCTTGGTCCCCTGAAAAAAAACGATGTCTGCCATGTCATCCCCAGCTTCAGCCATGAGTTTAGATGAGTTTAGATGGTTCCTCCCCCTCCAGAAACGTCCACATTTCATCATAGGATTTGCCCAGTTTCTTTTCAGGAAATGAGGACACCATGATGTGGAAAGCCCATGCTTGATCCGCAAAAACCTCTTTCCAGAAGCTGATAAAACATGATAACACCATATGAAATATATGAAACCTGTAAGCTGATGTTTCGTTTTTGGGTTTTCCCCAACCCCAACAACTTCCCGATTTCTAGCTCTCCAGGATTTCGTGTTGCTCCCAGTGTCCTGCAAGGTGCTCAAGGACCTGGCTCTTCTGCTCGCTAGGACGCGAGCCTGTGGCTGCTAGGTCTGCTAGGTTACGGTGCTGGGATGTGCTGGGTAAATATCTGGTGATATTTCACCAGTAGCTGGTGAAATTTAGGGATATGATTTCACCAGATAATATATACTGATATGTTCACTGAATTTCAAGGTATTTCAATGTATTTCCACAGACCTTGTTTGTATTTTTTGGATATTTGGGGATTCACCAGAAAAAAAAACACGATTCCATTAAGATCACGGCGTGAGGTCACTATAATTTGCCTAGATGGTGGTGTACTGGGGATGTAATGGAACATTGATGGACCATTCATGAAATCGGAACGTGAATGGAATATTGCAGATTCACAATGATTTACATGTCCGAGGATTTAGCCAAGTTCAAATGATGATTTTCCATAGCTATGTTACACTTGCTGGGGCTTGGTAGGGAATGGATGGGAATGGGGGAATGGGATTATTATTGATAGTCTTGATAGTGATCTTGGATCATTCCCGAAAATTCCCTGCGTTTAGCACCAGTAAGTACATCACCAGAAGGTACACTCCCGGGAGCAAACGTGTCTCAGGCTACCGTTTCAGGTATCAACTAACATGTCCACTCTATACCGGCGTTTTCCTGGGGAATGCATTGCAACTTTCTTTTTACACATTGACCCAAAAACAGCTAACATGTCTCAGTTCCTGCAATTGGGGCCCTTGGATTTCGACCCTGATCTGGGATATGTTCGCTATTTTGGGGGGATAGATTCAGCCAATAACCGCTCACATATCTCAAAACCACATCCTCTGAACAACACGGACACGTTAGGTGGACGCTTTCCATGGCCAGTAACCCTTAGTAAATGCAACTGGTTTTTGGAACACACCCCCAATCTTCATATATGACGCGCTCTTCCGAGGAGTTGGGACTCTTTTTTCTGCTCGTTTTGCTATCAATGCGGTCTGGAAATAAGGATTGGAAGTGCAGTGCGTGCTCTTTCGTACCAAACTGGGACATGTTAGCAAGTTGGAATTCGGAAACAATGAACAACAAATGAGCAGCACCTGTGCCACTTCATCTCGGATGCTGGCCATGACTTTGGGGTTCAGGGAAAACAACAGTGTTTTGACAAAAATTGGGTCTTGTAAGTGCAGTCATTCCCCGAAGAGATTCCAATATCTCAAGCTACTGAATATTGGCCTTTTCAATGTGGGGTTCCAAAAACCAGTTGCATTTGGGGCCCTTGGATTTCGACCCTGATCTGGGATATGTTAGCTATTTTTGGGGGATAGATCAGCCAATAACCACTCACATATCTCAAAACCACATCCTCTGAACAACACGGACACGTTAAGTGGACGCTTTCCATGGCCAGTCATCTAACCCTTACACCGGTGAAATCTAACATAGCGTTTTTTTAGCCCTGGCACCAACTCACAAACATAGCATCTGGCTACGTTGTCAACCCTGGGGATTTGGAGAAAGTGATCATTTGGGTGATTTCTGCCAACACCTGCTAACATAGCCTCTGTTTCCGTCCTCCCAATGTTTGGCATTCCCCAGGAAGTGGGTAGAAGAAATGTACCAGAATAAGCTAACATAGCTGTCTGGAGACTTGTCACAGCTTGGAACCACCAAATGGAAAGTGCTATGTTAGCATCAAACTCCACGGAAAACATGTTTTAGAAAACAGGAAACCGAACACATCAATCAATCAATCTAGAATGAAAGTACCCCTGGTTGCTAGGTTAGGTGTCTCTTTTGAGTCTCCAGCCGACCAGATCAAACCACAACTGTTTTTGGATGTCTTCCTGGGGCTCACCCTTACTGGGCCCAAAAAAGCTTCAAAATCAACAATTTTATATAATCGATTGAATAAGGAAAAAAACTCCTGGTCGATGTTGCCAATCTGGCTACTTGCTGCCATGATGATTACGATGTACTATTGGAAGTTTGGGAACCCTGCGCAAATGCTATGTTAGTAGTCGCCTTGGGCTCACAACCTTTCCGCCAACGCGCGCGCGCGTTAGCGGAAAACAACTCGGCCAGGCCCGAGGACTTCGACCCCAAAACGGGGAAAGACCAGGAGTTTTTTCCTTATTCAATCTATTATATAAAATTGTTGATTTTGAAGCTTTTTTGGGCCCAGTAAGGGTGAGCCCCAGGAAGACATCCAAAAACACTTGTGCCAGTCATGATTTTCAATCCAAAACCAAAGCTTTGGCAACAGGACTACTAACATAGCATTTGCGCAGGGTTCCCAAAACCTCCAATAGTACATCATAATCATCACCCTTACTGGACCCAAAAAAGCTTCAAAATCAACAAGTTTATATAATAGATTGAATAATTAATGAAAAAACTCCTGGTCGATGTTGCCAATCTCGCTACTTGCTACTATGAAGTACGATTAAATGTTTTTGGAACCATATATTGGTGGAAAGGCTGATGAACGCGCGCACAAACGAACGCTAACAAAGCAGTTCCCGATTGAACCTACTTGATGCTTCACACGCGCCAAGTTAGCACCAAAATGCCCATGTCACACCATGCGTTCCCAACGCCAAGTTAGTTGAATCTCAGCCCCAAAACCCAAACACTAACATAGCAAAAAAAATAAAAAAAAAAAAACTTTCAACAGGTAAGATTTCACGAGAGTAGTAAATGCAACTTGTTTTTGGAATGCACCCCCAATCTTCCTGCCCACCTCCGAGCATCATCTATGATGCGCTCTTCCGGAAGGAGTTGGGACCCCTTTTTTCTCCACCGTTTTGATATCAATGCAGTCTTTGATTTGAGCCCTGTTGGGGTCTGGAAATAAAGATGCTGGGGCGTCCGGGGCGGTAGTCTTCTGGCAGTTTCCCGGGAACCCCAGAGGGGGTGACAACTTTTCCACTAACATGTCCATTCTGGACTTTCAACTAACATGTCTCAAGTGTGGGGCATTTATCATAGCCTATGTTCACAGCAGCTAACGTATCCAAAAAAAACACCAAAAAAAAGTGGATACGTGTCTCGGGCTACCGTTTCAGGTATCAACTAACATGTCCACTCTGTACCAGCGTTTTCCTGGATTTCCTGGGGAATGCATTGCAACTTTTTTGGGGACCATTGACCCAAAAAACAGCTAACATGTCTCAGTTCCTGCAATTGGGGCCCTTGGATTTCGACCCTGATCTGGGATATGTTCGCTATTTTGGGGGGATAGATTCAGCCAATAACCACTCACATATCTCAAAACCACATCCTCTGAACAACACGGACACGTTAAGTGGACGCTTTCCATGGCTAGTCATCCAACCCTTAGTAAATGCAACTTGTTTTTGGAATGCACCCCCAATCTTCCTGCCCACCCACGAGCATCATCTATGATGCGCTCTTCCGGAAGGAGTTGGGACCACTTTTTTCTCCACCGTTTTGTTATCAATGCAGTCTTTGATTTGAGCCCTATTGGGGTCTGGAAATAAGGATGCTGGGGCGTCCGGGGCGGTAGTCTTCTGGCAGATTCCCGGGAACCCCCAGAGGGGGGGACAATTTTTCCACTAATATGTCCATTCTGGATTTTCAACTAACATGTCTCTAGTATAGGGCATTTATCATAGCCTATGTTCACAGCAGCTAACGTATCCAAAAAAAACACCAAAAAAAGTGGATACGTGTCCCGGGCTACCGTTTCAGGTATCAACTAACATGTCCACTCTGTACCGGCGTTTTCTTGGATTTCCTGGGGAATGTATTGCACCTTTTTGGGGCCATTGACCCAAAAACAGCTAACATGTCTCAGTTCCTGCAATTGGGGCCCTTGGATTTCGACCCTGATCTGGGATATGTTCGCTATTTTGGGGGGATAGATTCAGCCAATAACCACTCACATATTTCAAAACCACATCCTCTGAACAACACGGACACGTTAGGTGGACGCTTTCCATGGCCAGTCATCCAACCCTTAGTAAATGCAAATGGTTTTTGGAATGCACCCCCAATCTTCCTGCCCACCCACGGGCATCATCTATGATGCGCTCTTCCGGAAGGAGTTGGGACCCCTTTTTTCTCCACCGTTTTGTTCTCAATGCAGTCTTTGATTTGAGCCCTATTGGGGTCTGGAAATAAGGATGCTGGGGCGTCCGGGGCGGTAGTCTTCTGGCAGTTTCCCGGGAACCCCCCAGAGGGGGGAACAACTTTTCCACTAACATGTCCATTCTGGATTTTCAAGTAACATGTCTCTAGTATAGGGCATTTATCATAGCCTATGTTCACAGCAGCTAACGTATCCAAAAAAACTTTTTCCACAAAAAAGTGGATACGTGTCTCGGGCTACCGTTTCAGGTATCAACTAACATGTCCACTCTGTACCGGCGTTTTCTTGGATTTCCTGGGGAATGCATTGCAACTTTTTTTGGGACCATTGACCCAAAAACAGCTAACATGTCTCAGTTCCTGCAATTGGGGCCCTTGGATTTCGACCCTGATCTGGGATATGTTCGCTATTTTGGGGGGATAGATTCAGCCAATAACCACTCACATATCTCAAAACCACATCCTCTGAACAACACGGACACGTTAGGTGGACGCTTTCCATGGCCAGTCATCCAACCCTTAGTAAATGCAACTGGTTTTTGGAATGCACCCCCAATCTTCCTGCCCACCCACGGGCATCATCTATGATGCGCTCTTCCGGAAGGAGTTGGGACCCCTTTTTTCTCCACCGTTTTGTTATCAATGCGGTCTTTGATTTGAGCCCTATTGGGGTCTGGAAATAAAGATGCTGGGGCGTCCGGGGCGGTAGTCTTCTGGCAGTTTCCCGGGAACCCCCAGAGGGGGGGACAACTTTTCCACTAACATGTCCATTCTGGATTTTCAACTAACATGTCTCAAGTATAGGGCATTTATCATAGCCTATGTTCACAGCAGCTAACGTATCCAAAAAAAAAAATCCACAAAAAAGTGGATACGTTTGTTCCCTAGAGAGTAGCTGTACAACATGGGCCCAACATGGGCCATTTGGCTTCACACCGAGCCGCCGAACCCCGGCCTTCCAAGCGCTGAAAGATCTCAAGAGCCCAAATTTCTGAACCTTCGGATGGGAACTGAAACCAATCAGCTTAGTAGGGAATGGATGGGTTGCTTGGGGTTGCTGGGATGATCTGCTGGATAGTTAGCCAGTGGATCATTCCCGAAAATTCCCTGCGTTTAGCACCAGTAAGTTTTATGTTTTTTGTAATGATATATCTTTGCTTCGATGGGGCGAAAAACATGAAACTATGAAGTGGGGGAAGACTTCCTGTGGTTCAGAAACAGCACGAAACGATCTTCGGCCAAATCACTTGGAGTTGGACTATCGCCCTGCGCCCTGGGAGTTAAACCTTAAACATGGCCATTTTCACATCTTCAAAAATCAGGGAGTTTGCCCCAATGTTTTTGTTTATATTAGATTCGTTCATGGTTTCTGGCTGAATTCCTATAAATCCACTAACCTGAAAATAACCATTGTCATACGGTCAGCGAAAAGGGGATGATTCCCCGAATTCACCATCATTCCAGTGAGGCAGTGGGAGTTATGGTCCAATCATATGGAGGTTTCCTAAAAATGGGGTACCACCAGTTCTCATCCCATGGAAATAAACCATCCAGCGAGCTTGGGGTACCCATATTGACTTGGGAAATCTCCATATTGATATCAATTCAAATAACATAGCTATTGAAAACAACTTTTGTTTAATGGGTAGATCATATATCAATGGTTATTTTCCATAGCAAACTGCTAGGAAACCTCTATATTGATCTCTCAGCTGAGCAACTGGTCTGCGCAAGATGTCGAAAACCTTCGTCCGTCTTCGCGACGTTGTCACCACCTCGGCGTCAGATGGCGGTGCCCGGAGGGAATGAAGAAGGTGACACCACCGGAGTGAAGTCATAAAAGGGCCGATGATAGCCATGATAACCTTGAACATTGAAGATAGGGAAAATATGTGGAAAGCATAAAATGGAACATATATATGGAAATATAATATATGGGCCATGTATGAGAAATTGTTTGGTAGAGGCTGGGATGTTGAAAGTGAATCGTTTTTGCATTTTTTTGCGATAAATTTTCATGTACCATTTGCATTTCTTCTGAGAAATCTGATGTTTGGAGTGGATTTGCACTTCTCATTTGCATCTTTTGCATTGGATTTGCAGCATGTTCTGGAAAGGCATTTTTTGCAAATTTGACATTTCCGGGCCGAACCTTTCTGGGAAAACTGGAAAAAACATAAAACAAGCGAAGAATATGTTCTGGGCATCAAACGAAAGCAGAGGATAACGACATGACAGTCCAGTGGCAAGTGATTGCAGTGGACAGCTTGTTGAATCTCAACGAAGTGTTTTTGAATCGAATCATCAAAGTCAAATCTGAAGCTGCAAAACGTCAATCTTGCCAGTCAATTTTACTGTCTCGGTCCAAGTTGTCACCTGAAACTTCACCCCTTCCATCGACTGTCACAGTGTATGCACCCATGCGCTATACGTTTGGAATGGTCAACAATTGAAACCCTGCATCACGAGGAAGCGGTCCGACAAGTTCTGTAGGGCGTCGTGCAGCAACGGCTGCGCTGCCTGACAAAGCCGGCAAGCACCATCCTTTGACATCCGTTGACAAAAAGTGAAAACACTCTGACCTTAAGATGCTCGTAGAAAGCGGCTCTGTCTGCCTGGCACGACACAGGCTGCGAAAAGATTAGAAATTCACGAAGGTCTGCACGAATTGATGGGTCCGACGGACTGTCGGATGAGCACAATCCCGCCTTCTGCTTATTCTCCTCAACAGCATGAAGTCATGCCCATGGGAAACCTCGGCGGATCAGACGCTTAGGCCGCTGCAACTTTGCGTTTGTGCTTCCTCGTCGATCTACGAACCGCATCCTGCAAAAAAATGCACAGCTGACACAGAACCGTTCTTCTGCTGGTCAGTTGATGAGCAGTCTTGCAGTCCTTCCTGGTTTGCTGCGATGCGAGATCCTAGATACAGCGTTGCCAAAAATATACCAACACCATACTCAACAGGATCAATCCACAGAAAAACCATAGACGATGGAGTCCTCCAACTGCATCGCGAGCTGCTCCGAGCGAAGGAGGCTGTCATCCTGCTCTGGTAAAGCAGATGCACAAGAGTTCCATCTGTATGACGTTGCGGCCCCTTCCACAATTCTATTTTCTGATGGGGCTCAAATAGCAACACTGTTGATCTAAGTTCCAAAGACCTCCCCGTCTCGACGAGCTTGGAATCTTATGCTCCGGCAAAGCATATTGCGCAAGAGTTCCATCTGTATAAAGTTTGGGCGGCATGTTGCGCAAGCGTTCCCTCGGTATCAAGTTTGGGCCCCATTCACAATTATAAGTTTTGATGGGGCTCAGATCAACACACATCTTTTCGAGTTTTGAATGGCATGCTCTCGTAAAGCACGCAGCGTTCCATCTGTATGAAGCTTGGGCCCCATTCAAAATTATAATTTTCAATGGAGCTCAAATCAACACACTGTTGATCTACGTTCCAAAGACCGCTGGACCGGGCATCTCCACGAACCCAGGATGTTATTCTCTCGTAAGGCATGTTGCGCAATCATTCCATCAGTATCAAGTCTAGGCCCCATCGAATAGAAAAAGTTTGAGTGGGGCGCAAATCAACAAACATTTTTTTCGAGTTTTGAACGGCATGCTCTCCTAAAGCACATAGCATTCCATCTGTATGAAGCTTGGGCCCCATCCAAAATTATTTTTTTTGATGGGGATCAAAGCAAGATCAGTTCCAAAGACCTCTGGACCAGGCGTTTCGCTGAGCTTGGAATGTTATGCCCCCGCCAGAAAAAAGTGAGAAAAGTGACGCTTACTTTGAGGAACATAACAAAAACAAATCCCATTATATAGACGGCAAACTTTTCAGATGTGAAAACAAATTCAAACGATATGATGGCAAACTTTTGGGCTGTCATCGCGCATTCCTTTTTGGCGCCGCTCTTATCGGAGCAAATGTCGCAGGCGGGCTGGACATGAGTTTTCCCCCTTAAGTGAAACCTGACAGTTTGACCGGTTACTTCACGGAGTGCAACTACCACGTCTTTGGCGAAGCCAAGAGCCGCTTCTGTTGCCTGCGCTGCAGGACTGTGCAATATGTTCTTCTGTGCCCTGTCTCCATTCACGACCGCTTCTATTTTGCTTTCACCCACCTGCCTTTGTGTCAAAGTGCCGTCGGATGGCGGTCTCAATGCTGAACGAACCTGTGCGGCATGAGACGTGCTCAAAGAGGCGGGGGTTCCCACATGAAGGACAAGAGTTTATACATAGAACTACGCTTGCGGGAATAATTTGCCTTGGTATATCGCGTGCATGTTGCCGGTGAAGATGCTCGTGGCATAGATCAGCTTCTGGCGATACCTCAGCAAGCGGTGAAAAACACCACTCGGCTGCCTTACTGACATTACGCTGCAAAGAGTAACAGCCGCCGAGGTCCTTACTCCAACCGGACCAGCATGAGATGACTGAAAAGCCGCAACTTCAAGAGGAGCCTGAACAGAACAGCTTTTGCATGTGGAGTGCAATAATCTTTGCATCAGTAGAAAAAGCCGACTTAGGTTCAGGCGCGGCATCGCTGCCTAAGCGCTTTGCAACCGCCATCGCAGCCCGGTTTCCCATCACAAGCAACAAACCATGCGCATCCAGTAAACAGACATTGATGTCTGGACAGATATGCAATGTACGGTGCAGTACTCGAAGCGAGTGTACGTGCGTGCGTGTGTGTGTGTGTGTGATTTTTTTCTCGCAGACAATTGGCCAAGCTCAAAGCTGGAGGTTTAAAACGGCAGCGGCCTGAACGAAGTGAAGAAGCAAAACCATTGCATGTACCGAATGTATCATAATACACCTACATGCGCGATACCCTCCACAAACTGTGTGCTGTGTTTCTTTGAGACCGTTGCTTGCATATGTCTTGATTGGGCTACCATCTGGTGACAACAAGGGACAGTCTTTTTCAATCCCGGAGGTTTCGTGTCTTTGCCTGGTGAAACGTTACGGTCTCATTGGCGGCGCCTGCAAGGAAAAACCATCTATTGGGTCAAGTGTTGCAAAAGAATAGTTATACTCTACTTTACATCAGTGACGTCCGGCGTCGCACCTCTCCAGATGCGGTGCCGTGCTTGGTCGTGGCCGTTTGAACGAAGGCTCCTGCCAGTAACAGCACATGACAAGAAACTTACTGGATGACAAGCTTCAAAACAAAGCCAGCATGACTTTGCATGTTACTCTCGCCTGGATTTCCAAGATAAAGAAGCCATTGGGCCCTGGACAGCAGGCTGTTACCTGCAGGGAGCTAATCAAAGGCATCGTTGCAGCGTTCCGGCTGTCTAGCACGAGGTCTCCGAGTTGGCCCGGCGCCGCAGCTGGGCCAGCAAGTTTGGCACGTTGCAGGCCATGAAACATGTTTCTGCATGTTTTTGGGACATTTCCCAAGGTTTTGGTAATTTGGTCTAGGTTTTTGTAGGTTTTTCTAGGTTTTTGATACCTTCCAAGGAGGCGCTTTGAATTTGCAAACAAACATGCGAAACACATGCAAAAACAAAATGCGCAAATGAATCCTTCGTTTCCAAGGCGCGCCTCCAATTTGCAAAAAAAAATGCAACAAAAAACATGCAAAATGAACCCGCCATACAAAATAAATGCAAACCAAAGCTGAAAAAAACAAACCTTCCCCAATCCCTACCAGGGACGCACTCTCATAATGGAACATATATGGAGAATATATGGAATATATATATATATATATGTATGGAACATATGGAACACATGGAACACATGGAACATATGGAACATATGGAACATATATATATATATATATAGATAATTATATAATATATAAATATATATGGAAAATACATGAAACATGTATGGAAAATATATGGAACATAGATGGACATGTGGTTTTGTTTCAAAAACATCTTTTTGTGGTACTTCAAGCACGTTACGATCTGGCGCCCATGGGCACCTCATTCCCATGCCACCAGAGTCACTTGATGCCAAGCATGCAAAGCAGAGCTTACATACCTCGGCAAGGGGCCTGTCCATGACCAGCATCAAACATCTCTGACCTTGGGAAACTCAATCTGCCTTTTGAATCAATGGTAAACCAATGAACCACCCATATTCGGGATGGGATATACCATCCACAAAAATGCTGAAATTGGGGAACGTGTACTATTGCAATATATGTACAGTATATGGTTTTACTAACATAAATAGGAGAATAGTTATTAGGTACCCCATTTTATGATTGATTTGCTCATGGTAACATCAATATTATCCCAAAAATTGTATGGTTTTGCTAACATCAATACTAAGTGATTGAATTCATTGACTTACCAGTGGTTTTACAATATTTACGAACAATGAATATTATCCCATAGTTATTATCCCAACTGATTAAATAATCATGGTTAATCTACCGGTGGATTTTGAGGTCGCCCATTGCCAGAACCTCTGTCCAAGCGACTCGGAGCTGGAGCGCCGCTCTTGGCGCTGCAAGATACCTGGAAAATGCCCTAGCGAAGTGGAACATCACCAGGGTTCAGTTCGGTAAATCAGTTCGGTAAATCCTGATCATATGGGCCATAACTAGAGAGTTTACCCTCTGGTAATTTAACGTAGCTATTGAAAATGGCAATTTATAGTGGATTTTCTCATTAAAAATGGTGATTTTCCATAGTTATGTTAGATATGTTAGTTTACCAGAGGGTAGAGAGTTTAACAAAAAAGATCTTGGAATCTGCTGGGACGACTTTTTTCATGTTCATCCCTTCATTGGTCTGTCCGAGTGAGTTCAGGTACCACCTGAAGTGACAAAATCTCATGGTTGTTCAGTATTTGTTCCACCATGTTTGATGGCAATTCTTGGGTATCTTCCAATTTTCAGAGAAATCCTTAAGTATCATGTTGGTTGGACATATATCACATATCCCCATAACTTTACCCATTATATCCACATGTTTTGATTCAGATTCCCCCCATTATATCATGTGATATCCCCATGTTCCAGTGGATAGCTCAGCTAGCTCTATAGAGAAATTCTACCCATATTGACCCAGTCATTGATCCACTACTCCCCATGAAATATCAACGGTGAACTGTAGCTATTGACTGATCATGACCTTCAGCACCTCAGTTCTCCCATTATCCCATCGAAGACCAGGGCAGGGCCAAGCAGCTCAGCGTTCTTCGCACGTGCTGCTTCAGAGCGTCAGATGCTGCACCCTGCTGTATGCCCAGATGATGCATCCTGCGAAGATGGTTTGCTGTCACAACACCTGCAATTTTCAGATGACAAGCCTGAGAAAAAGGTCATCAATTCTACCCTCAAAAACAGGTGGATCCAGAAAATGGACCATTGTTTTGTTTGAGTGGAAACTCTGATATGCCAGGCATTTCCAACACCACGATTTGGCGAACCTATATCAATTTGGAGGAGGCGATTGGTATCTGCATGTTTAAATTTATTCCATAGCAACAAAACAGCAACAGAATTGTCACAAAACGTATGCAAATATTGATACGGATATTGATTCAACTCCCAGACCTTCCAAATACCACCCACAAATTGCAAAACTACTCTACAAAGACTTGGGGTATAGGATACTTGGAGTCTTGCAGAGTCTACAGTTGTGGCCCTTTACCAGTTATAAGTCAGTTATAACCTCATTTTGGGATATTTTTGGAAGCTATAACCCCAGCTATAACCAGAATCGCCCCTTCAGGCCCTTCCGCGGAATTTCGCCAAGACACTTCAGCTCCGTCATATTCCAACGAAGGGCTGCCACAGCAGCACGTAGCAGCTGTCCATGGTGTTGCAAAGCCAAGGTTCTGAGATGTCGAGAGTCAAGTCGTCAAGTTCCAAGCTAGAAAAAAACTGGGGGTCAACCTTCACATCCATACAAGGTGGTGCCCCCCAAGTTATAAATGGCTTATAATATCCCATGAACTATAGATATATCATGATATATCACTCACCTATAAACCATAGTGACATTGGACTTATAAATAAACCAACTTAGCTAACTATGGGGCACCACCCTGTAAACCAGCGAAGACATCTGGATCTTGAATGGCTGGGTGATGAAGCCAGATGAGAGAAAAACCAAGAGTGGGACAAGTGCCAGCTCAAAAAACAACGAGCCGCCGAGGTAGCCGAGCCCAAAAAGTTGGTGACCCCTAGTCTTACCCATAGGATTCCATGGATCCCATCAATATACCCCCTTTATGTTAGCATATATACCAGCACCATGGATCCTATGGGTTATGGCACCCGGAAATCTTTAGGGTGACTTGCTGGAAAATCATGACATTTTGATGAGAAAATCCCAGCGAACGAAACCTCCATTTGCAAGGGATTTGCCACAGCTATGTTTGATTAATGTGGTTAAAACAATAATAGACCATCCCACAAACCATCATAAATAGGTAGTAAATAAACCATTCCCAAATGGATAGTTGATGATTGTTTTAATATGCTTTAATCACATTACAGGTGGCTAATTCTGACCCTGTACTACAACCTGTACACCTTCACATCGCTTCACCAGTACCAAGGGTCTCTCCCAGAACACTCAGCTGAGTTCGTTTGGGTCTCGGCCGCGGCTTTCCCATTGCGTCTTCAGCGTGTCCGGCCAAGGCCCAGACGAAGGCCCGAAAGGCCTTGCATCCCAAGAGCTAGGAGGTGAATCTTTCAAAATTCAATGGAATTCTGAAAAAAGATGGGATTTTGAATGGAATTTTGAAGGAAATTCACTGGATTTAGGAATTTTGCCGGGAATTTTGACCAGAACCCAGAAGTTCAGCGCTGAATTTTTGAGATTTTGACGTGAGTTTCTCTGATTTTGAAGCGAATCGGCATGAATATTGGGCCATGGTCTACCAGAGAATCGCTTCCATAACAAGTGATCCTGGAATATGTCAATATTATCTGGTTGGTGATTCAAACCCATCCCAAAAATGCTCGTCATCTCAACCAATCATCCCATTTGTATGATTGAAGAACCACATTTGGGTATGGGTCAAAATAAGAATCCCTCCCCATAGGCCCTATAATTGGATGGTTCATACTAGCCGAATCCGTGGTCTCCTAGCCTTAAATGTTGATCCATTCCCAAATATGTAGTAAAAAAAAAAATCCCCCCGGCCCCCAACCAGTCACCCACATCCACCGACAGCTCTACTGTCGCGTGACCAAGCGAAGCAAGGATTCAGCGCTTCGACGCAACAGGAAGCGCTTCGAATGCAAGGCCTGTGTGGAGCAGTCTGCAACCAAAGGTTAGATTCTGGTAAATATACAAGAAACTATGGAACATCACATTTTCTAATGGGCAAATCAACCACTATATTTTCATTATTATTTTATTATTCTATGATTCTATGATTTTATTATTATATTACTATATTATTATATTACTATGGCCATTTCAATAGCAAACTGTTAGTTTACCAGAGGGTAGGCTCTTTTCAAAAGACACCAAGCGTTTCTTAAGTTGAACGACTTTCTGAAAACCTCCTGAGATTGCCAATCTTGAATCCTATCTGATACTACAGCCCTTTCTCCCTGCTGCGGCAGCAACGCATCCTGCATCTTCCATGCCATATCCCACCGGGTCCCACCATATCCCCATTCCCCATCCAGATCCCCAATCCGATATTCCACTATCTAGATATCATATAGCCAAACTTCGATACCCTCCAAAAAGATTCTTTTGGCTAGTTCTTTTACTCCATACAGAGTATACATGCCCAGAAAAATGATATTCATGGCACAAGCTTCGACTACTGAACCACCCAATTAATTGACTCAAATGGCTTTGTCTGAACATAAAACAGGCTCTCAGAAATTAGATGCCAAGTCAGATAATCAGATGCAAAAAATCATGCCATCCCAATGGTGTTTTGTTGCTCTTTTGAGGCATTCCCCGATGCTTGGAGCGGCCTGCTGTGCTCGTTGGATGCCATGGACCCAACTCTTCCAAGCGCCAGCCAGGCTGGCTCGGTTGCCCGCAGCGACCTAACAGCGACCCTTGCGACAGGTGCGAATGGATCCATTGGTGAAAAAAGAGATCCTGGTCCATGTGATTAGTAGTGGTTAATAGTGATTGATATGGTGATTCATATTGAATTGATAGTGATTAATAGTGGTTAATGGTGATTAATAGTGAACTAATGTGGGAAAAACAATGTCATGTTTACCACCCATGACCGGAAATGGTACACATAGCACCTATAAAAATGGTGAAATTGGGGATGGTTTATTATTGTTTTACCAACATTACCCCAAAGCTGGACATGAGTTATTAACATGTAAGTATTGACCAATGATTTTTGTGAGATTTTCCCGATTTTAAGAACAAGGTATCGACCAACATGTAACTGGAAGGGCCCACATTGTACCAAAACCTGAAGAAATTCCAAGGGATTTGTTTGAAGGAAACCACGATTTTCATTGATTCTCACCATTCAAATCTGGCTTTTTCCTGCAAAAAAAAATTAGCCTGAAAGCAAATTTGGGTTGCCTGTTCCTATCTAGGGTTCCCACTTCTCTCTTGATTTCTTTCAGGTCAACTTCCAAACTGCAGATGGTCCTGATTCTGGGGGCTTTCAGCTCGTCATCCTCGACTTGACAAAATCCCTTTCCCCAACCGAAAGCCTAATTTAGTATTGGATCAGATTGGATCTATACATCTGGGGGACCATTTGGGGGGTATATTCTATATGTATATATACATACATTGCAGTAAGGGGTAGGGAATAAGACGTGGCAATGGAAAATCCACTTCTAGATGATATGCCATTTTTTAAACCTCCATTTATAACGGATTGTCCATTGCCATGTTTACCGGGCAATCATCGAAACGGAAAAAAAAACATCTGGGTCTCCCGGCTGCAGCAACTAACCATTGGTGCCTGCTGGCAATCAGCGCCATATTCACAGCAGTCTGTCGCCCTGGGTGAGAGGCCGAACGAGGCCGAAGTGGCTCTGAATTGGTTTAAGAAAGACACTCCTTAGTTTGGATCGGATACCCCTCTGGTAAACTAACATAGCTATTGAAAATGGCCCATTTATAGTGGATTTACCCATTGAAAATGGTGATTTTCCATAGTTATGTTAGTTTACCAGAGGGTAGGGCCTATAATTCAAGTTTGATACTTTTCCATGTTTTGAAAAGAGTTGCACGTTGAATTCGAAAAGTGATGTGTTTGTGTAGACTTTTCCTGGGCTTCTCACAACAAGCCTTGCTATCCACTGACAGCTAAGCAGCTACAATGTCCCAGGCGCCTTGACAAGCAAGTTGAGACCAAAAAGCCATCACCGCCTAAGAAGGCTGGCTCTACTACTTGGCCTTGAAGGACTTGGGATTAGATTTATAGCATTTTATAGCTACAGCCTTGGGATTATAAATTATCCCAAACAAGTTGGAATATCCTGCCACCCCTAGAACATCTATAACTATGGTGAATATAACAATAACCACAAACTTTGTGGAAATGCCCCAAGCACTGAAGGGGCTGGCCCTGGGGCCCTGCTCTCTGCATTTAGCCCAACCTTTGGCCGGCAGGCGAACTTCACCAAAATTAATCGAAAGGATCTTTACAAAAGTTGCGTAGTATGGATGTATTTAGTGATACATTACACGGCATGTGTCAAAATGTGGGACCGCCAAAGTCCATGAAAATGGTCGTTGATGTTACTAAAAGCAGTGGCATCGCTTGTTTGCATACACCTACAAATCCTGCATCCTCTGTGCGTTAGGCGTAGGGCGCGCCATTGAAACATCACAGGCAACACGAAGAGAAGCTGAAATTCGCCATCCAAAATTCAGACACCAGTCGGTCTCCGTGTTCAAAAGCTGCAACGTCATCGCATTTGATCATATCTAATCCTGGTTGGTAAAACCATCTATGAATGATTGAAGCTTCAAACTAATCATCAGCCAAGGTACCAGCAGCAAGGCTTGCTGTCTGACTTTCGCGCATGCCGTGGCCGCCAAGCTGCGCATGTGTCGCATCTGCTGATCTTGCTCCACCTGCGAAAAGAAAGTATGATCTAGATAAATTGCAATAATTCACTATCCAATAGGATCCATGTATGGTATATATGGTAACATTTACCATCAATATACCCCATGTTAGCATATATACCAGCACCATGGATCCGTCATGGGTATAGGGGTGCCCAAAAAGATAAATTCATAACAACAAGTCCAGGATATTACCCTCTGGTAATTTAACATAGCTATGGAAAATCACCATTTTTAATGGGAAAACTCACTATAAATGGCAACTTTCAAAAGCTATGTTAATTTACCAGAGGGTAGATGGTGTTTTCATAGCAGCAAGTCCAGGATATTATAGATGATGATTTCTTCATAATTTCCAGGTTTCCAACTTGTCTATCTATGAATGGGGGCTACCAACTGGGATAGTTGCCCCAATCCAAGTCCCAGCATTTCAGATCGTCATTTCAGTAATCCACAGATGACATATGATGATATATCACCGAATGATATCACCAAAACTATATATGATATATGATTAAACTACTGAACGTATATGTATAGTGTCAGCAAAAACTAGAGTAAAACATCACCAACATTTTTCGCTTGGTTCATGGGCGCCATGGATTGTCAAGCAACCCAGAGTCTCATGCATAAAATGACGAGCAACCGTATCGGTCAGCCCATTAAAAAGAAACTTCGCGTATAAAGAACGGAAACACTGCTTGTCAAGGAATCAATGGATTGGTTGAAGTGCAGTTTTCTACAGGAAACGATGGATTTTTCGATGTTCTCTCCCATGAAATAGAGGGGTTTCCTGTAAGTCTTCCCTTAAGCCAATCTGGTTGGTGGTATACCCCTCTGAAAAATATATTCGTTCATCAGCTGGGATCATTATTCCCAATATATGGAAAGTCATAAAAACCATGTTCCAAACCACCAACCAGACTATATTGTTATTCCAATTATTAACCATTATTAACCATTATTAACCATAGATTAACCATAGATTCACCATAGATTCACCAGGAAAATTCCATGCCAACCAGCCATGCAATCCATAGAAATTGCTCTTGTGAAACCATCCCACTTCACCTGGCAGCCGATTTCATGGCCTGTGCTGTCCATTCTTTGAAGCATGTCCACAGGACCAGCGCCTCAGAATTTTCACCAAATCATCCAATATGATAAAGGAAACATGAGGAAACTGTGAAATGAAGAAACATGAAACTGTGACATATCTGACATATATCTTATTTGACTATGATTTGATCATGTTGCATAATCAACTATAAACAATTATTTTATCTTGTAATGAGTTTCATGATGAAACATCAAGGAAACTCAGCATCAATCCTGAAGGTTGACCCATCCAACTGGGACAGTCCATGGTGCTGGCAGTGTCAAACTGCTGTTCCAGCGGTAAGTGCTGCAGATGGAACACACATGGGCATCAATGACATCACAGATCAAAGATGTTCGGACACAAAATGACACAAGCCACAGAACATGGACATGGAATTAACAGTGAATGGGAGCAAACAAACTTTACCAGGGCCTCTCAAATCAACTGTGTAGAAAATGTCATTAAGGTAGTGCCCAATTTCGCGGTTGGCTTTGTAGATATACCGAAAACAAGTTGACCATTACATCACGTTTGACATACTATGACTACAGTTAATGGATGTTAATGGTAGATAGTGTGTCTACCAGTTGATAGTTACACATAGTTACTATTTTCTGGTAATTTAACATAGCTATTGAAAATACCCCATCTATAGTTGATTTACCTATTCAAAATGGTGATTTCTGAGTTTCTATAGCTATGTTAGTTTACCAGAGGGTATGATTTATTTCAAGCAACATTGACATCACTAGGGGGCGGGCACCACCTTGCACTTGCGTTCCATCGCCAAGAATCTCTGGCACGCTGCTTTTCTTGCACCAGTTTCTGCCAAGCACGAAGCATCAAGCGCCTATCCGGAGCCATGATGGCAGAGCTATAGAAGTTTAAAGAATTTTATAGATATGAGGTGGTGAAACATGATGTTTCACATGTCCTTTCATGTTCTTCCTGGCTTCGTGATTGCTCAAGGGATTCCAGTATCAATATCAGTTTAAATATTAAATTGCCATTGTTGGATTAAGAATCATTCCCAACAATGACAATTACAATTATCTATATTCAATTTCCAGTAACAATGGCTGGATTTTTTCGGGGAGAATCTAGAGGAAACCAGGAGCAATCACGGATTGTCCCGTCAAACCAAGCTATGTCATCGAATTCTCAAATCCAGTTCTAGATCCTAACATGGGGGATATTTAACATAGATGTGGAAAATCACGATTTTTTTTTAAATAGGTATATATATATATAAGCATCTACTTTAATAAAGGACTCATTGTCCACATCTATGTTGGGTTTACCTCAGGCTAAATCCTCATAGAAATCCACATTAAACATATATTCAATCAATATTAATCCACATTATCGCATAGAAAATTATGAAAATATCATCAATATTATCAATATTAATCCACTGAATCATGAATCCCATAGAATTCCCATAGAAAACTCGACCTTTTCCATGGATTCAGCATTACCGATCTCCCGCCTGTCGCCCTCCCGACGAGCACCACCGGCACCGGTGCCGCTCCATTGGTGCAGCCGCAGCAAGCGGCAGCGGCAACGCCAAAGGGAGAAGCTCTGACGGAGGCGGTGCAGGTCTGCCTGCGCCCGTGGAAAATGGTGGTTTTTCATAGTGGTTTGAGTGGTAACTTTGGTCGTTTCAAAAATGGAGTTTTAATGTTTTAATAGTGGTTTGATAGGGGTTCAAAAATGGTTTAATAATGATATCTAATGATTCATGGCTACCAGTAGTAAATCATCCCTAAACATATGGCTCAACAACTATACAGTGTAGAGAGGATCCATAATGGGGGTTACAAACCAACAACCATCGCTGGGGAGAACCACCTTGCAGGAAGTGTTTCGTATCCATAGTTGCAACCCGGTTGTATGAGATATCGGTATTGTATTACATGAGGATGTACTTTGTATACAAATATATATATATATGCATAATGTTATATATATATAATATAAATATGTGTATGCACCTGTAATCTATGTTTTTACAATGGTTATCTGGGATGCACATTCTATTTAGTTCTAAAGCTTAAGGAATCAGGGAATGATGTACCATGTTCGTTTGACACCAAACTTGTGGGACGGCATTGGCATCCAACTGCCATGGATGGCAATCCAGCATGCTTTCCTGATGGCTGGACCGCTATCACATCTCATATATACTCTATACTATATATATATATCCACATTCACGTACAGAAACGTGCAAATTAATATACATATATATATATATACACACTGTATAATACATACTGATAATCTATAAATATATATATATTGCAAGATGAGTCCGTCGTTAGGAAACATAATATGCTCAAATGTGATGTTGGAATTGTGCATCACAACGTACCACAACGGGACCTCCGTGGGCTCGTGAAACGGAAGCCGCCGCAGCCGTTTCCGCCGCTGCAAGGAGTGGCTCTGGAAGTACCAGGCATATAGATAGAGTCCCAACACCTGGTGCCGCGGTTCGGAATTCCTAAGGTTAGCAGTGATGAGTTATGAATCATGTTTTAATTGTTATAGAATTGATATAGTTGTGGTTAAACATGACAAATTATCTTTGAAGCCAATGTACCATCTGGTTATTTAACAGTTTGCCATGGAAAGATCCACCATTTTTAATAGGTAAACCATCTATAAATGGGCCATCTATACCATGGCTATGTTAGTCATAACCAGAGGGTAATTGTTTCTTCAAAGTCCTTGAGGAGCAGTTCCACAGTACACAGAGCTTCAGAGCCCAAATCTGTAAGACTCTCCGTTCCTATTAAAGATGGGTATGTACATGTATGTACATTTGAAGAATTACATAGACTTACTGAAGAACATCTTAAATCACCAACTCAGGCTTCTGCTTGTGTATGTATTTCTTGTTTCAACAGATGATTCAGGATTAGTCCCAAGTCGGCATCCGTTGAGCCAATGGCCCTGGCTGCCTCCTTGGAATTCTTGTCCGCCAAACACTCCAATTGACGCCTGGCCATGGATAGATGGACAGTGTCAGCTTCGGCCAAGCACCACAGGAAAGTATGAGCATGGTACAGATTTAGGTATAGGATATCTATTAATCACATATCATATACCTATTTCTAATATATCATAGGATGATATATCATATATACCACATTAATATAATATGATATAGGTATAAATGTATATATAAATGTGGTATTTTTCATGATTATACCGGTATAGAATTTGCACCAGGCAGGCAGGTACAGTATTCGAAAAAATTCTCTATGGAGAGAATGTGACAGCGTGAAACGGAGATGGATCCAAAAGAGTTTCGATTTGACATGGCACCCATTAAACTTCCATTGGTTTAATGATAATTACCATCTGGTTATGACTAACAGTTTGCCATAGAAAGATCCACCATGCTATTAAGTTTGGTAAACCATCTATTTCGATTAGGGCCATCTATACCATGGCAAACTGTTAAATAACCAGAGGGTATATATATATATATAATTATCCATAGTACTACGATGCCAATTGAGATCCATTTGGTAGATATACCATGGTATATAGATCCATTTGGTAGGTACAAACAGGGAATACCATGATTGCAAACACACCAAATTTGGGGCCATAGAAACACAACAAATTTCAGTTTATTTTCCAGACTCCGCCTCAAAGAAAAAGTGAAAATCAAGGTAACCCACCTGTCGCTTGATTTGGACTTCAACGAAAGAAACTCAGTATACGTGGATAATAACAATGTTATACCTCAGTATACGCCTAGCTACATGTGGAATATTCCCAGTTATATATATATAGATACATAATTGTATATGTGGGTTGTAAACCACTTACTAACTGAAATGCACATCCAAGTTCCCTTCATCACCCCCGTGATACCTGTGTTGACCTCGACTTCCTTGCTCCTTCCAGCGGCGCAGAAGGTCAGAAAACCTCCGCTGCTGCTGCTTCCTAGGCGAAGCCAAATGACACCGAAAAAATCATTTCACAAAGATGCTATCATTATCCGGGGTTGGAAGCTCATGTATTTCAAGCATCTATGGAATCTATGGACTTATCACTCTCTCTGTATGATTCTATGTGTATATACAGTATATGTATATATATAATATATCATATATATAATATATAATAGTATATATAATATAATATAATATAATATATATAATAGTATAAATAATATATCATATATATATATATACACAGTAATTATATATATGTTGGAATTCCCCATTCGCTATTTCCCAACGTGCTCACAGCAAGTCGTCCAGGTAACCCTATGGCCATCCACAACATCTTGGCGCCCATCGTACGCATCGTTCTCCCGCGCACCGCCACGAAGTGGAGCTGCAGGAAGATCTTCTGCATGATCCTGAACTGGTTATTATATGGTTAATGATGGTTAATATATGGTTATTATATGGTTAATGATGGTTAATCATAATCTGGTTGGTGGTTGAGCCCTACCCCTCTGATATGCTCGTGAGTTGGGATGATGACATTCCCAATATATGGAAAAATAATAAAAAAAAGTTCCAGACCACCAACCAGATAAGGACACCTATGGAAAATTAGGAAAAAAACACATACATGGTATGTTCAATACCAAAATTATAAACTCATGTTCCACCAAGCTAGTCCATCTGATTTTCTTCCAGAAGGTTTGGGCCTGGCAGAGTACTCTTAAAAAAGGCCAAAGTTCATAGACCCGTAACGCAAAACAGGGCACGATGACACGTTCCACTTCAAGAGTGCCCAACCTTTCAAGAACAATCAGAAACAATCTTAAGCATTGTGCTGCGCATGGATAAAGATTGGATATGCTAAATCTTGAGGGAACAATCAAATCAAATATGTGCCGTTCGCCACCTGCCACATGGTCTCTAGATTATATGATAGGTTGCTCCACCTCCTCCGCTCCTTCTCATCCTCTCCTCCCTGGGCCCGGACACGAAAACCATAGAATGCCAGACACACAATGTCAGATAGAATTGGGATCAAATGTTAGACTGCCAGAAAAAACGCAAGATAGACTGCCAGATAAGCTGTCAGAGAGAATATCAGATAAAATGTCAGAACATATGTCAAATAGATCATTAGAATACATGTCAGACAAAATGTTGGGAATATATGTGAGTTGGTGGGGATTACTGGAAGGACTGTATCTCTTTCGGTTCTTTTTGGGATTGATCATACCTGGATAATAGATGATAAATTCGCTGCTGAAAGGGCCAGAATCCCCAAGATATGTGTAAGAAAAGAGGTAACCTGGCCCATCGCCATAGTGAGTTCAACCTTTCAACCCATCCCTCCAGGATTTGCCATGAGGGGATCGTCGTTCTCCCAGAACGCATTACCGGTGATCGATCCAAGAGATCCCCAGAACGAATACGTTCGAAAAAAACTTCCCCTGTTGACCAGAAATGACCAGAAATTCCCGGAGATTCCTGGAACTCCAAAGCAGAAATAATTTTTACACATCTGGTTGGTGGTGCAATGTGCCCATCTTGAAAAATGATGGAGTTCGTCAATGGGAAAAACATGACATCCCATTAATATGATGGAAAATACAATTCATGTTTGAAACCACCAACCAGTAATATACCAGTAATAAATACATGCAAATCGTTACATGGTGGTTTTCTCATGTCCCAATTGCTGGGAATCTGAAGCCAGTTTTTCTTCGACATCCCAACTCTTGTCGAGCCAAAAGCCTTCTGAGGCCTAAAATCTCCTACAATGTGGGCCCCCCCAGTTATAAGATGGTTTATAAACCCCATTAAGTATAGTTATAGGTCATAGGTACCATAAACCATAGTTATTGGAGTTATAAACCAACTTAGCTATCTAGGGGGCCCCACTTTGTATGTTCTGCTGGCTGGTGGTTGAGCCTACCCCTCTGAAAAATGATGGACTGTTCGTCAGTTGGGATTAATTATGACAGTTCCAAATTTATGGAAAGATAGAACATGTTCCAAACCACCAACCAGTTCGTCTGTTTTTCCCACTTTTTCTCCACCTGCCAGGCTTCATCTGCTCCCTCCACCCCATGCGTCCGCCCGTCGCTGAAAGCCGCGCTCTCTTCGCACACCGCCGCCATTGCCGCAGCAAGCAACGCAAGAACTGCCGCTGCGCCAGTTGCAGGCCATAGGCTCCAGTGGCAGATCTGCTCCTGACCAGTCCCTTCAAAACAGGTTTCAATGGGATTTGATGGGATTTGATGCGCTTTGCATTTATATTTTCAGCTGGGGGTTCAAAATTGTACAAAAAAGAACATGGCAAAAGATGAAGTACTAAAGCTGGTTGGTGGTTTCAACCTACCCCTCTGAAAAATATATGAGTCAGTTGGGATCATCATTCCCAACTGAATGGAAGGTCATAAAATTCCATGGTTCCAGTCACCACCAACCAGTAAAGTATCGATTCAAGGTTTCCCACGTCCTGTCGTAATCCTTCCCATTGGATAAGGTGAATTGGATGGCCCCAGAGGGCCATGGTTTGCCGGAAAACCCCCATAGTTCCGACGATTTTTTCCATTTTTCAATACCCATGTGTAGAAAGGCGTTTCCATGCGTTTCCCAAAAATAGACACATGATTTCACAAAATTTCTGCGACGATCTTCCCATTTAAACCGCCATTTTTTTTAAGGATTTTCAATGCCCGTGGCTAGGCCAAGGGGGATTTCTCAGCGTCTTTTTATGGAGGTTGATGACAACATTTCAAGAAACAGAAAAGACGTGATTAGATTTGTAGCGACACTGCTTTCCGCTGTGGATTTTTTAAAGTTTGTTTCTCAATTGCTTTCTACATGATTGAGTCTGATTGACGACTTTGCATCTGATGAGTTCATGAAAAACAACAATTTTCCATGGTAAACACCACCATTTTCCATGGTAAAAAACCAACCATTTTCCATGAAAAGAATCTGAACCTGTTATTTTTTTCGCAGCTGCGGCCAGGAACCTCTGCAGCTGCGAGTGCTTCTGCAAAGTCCATGCATGGAAGCACCTGCTTCGAAGCGGCGAAATCGTTGAGCACCCGGTGGCTGATCATTCTGACATGATCATTAAAAGGCCAAACACCATACCCCATATGCGAACCATGGTGCTGGAATATTTACCAACGTTGTTGCCCTAAAAATCAACCAGTTTTGTAGCTAAATATACCAGCACCATGGAGCATATGGGTACTGGTTGGTGGTTTTTAACCATCTTGAAACATATTAATCAAAGGGAAGGATGACAACCCATTTTCTTGTGGGAAACAAATGTTTGAAACCACCAAACACCGTATCATGTCAACCCTGGAGTTTGCGAAAAACCATGGTTTATTCATGTTGATTGATCCAGGCTTGTCATATTTCAATATATTTCAATCATGTCAGGGCGATGTTCGATGGGTTTTCGGATCACCAAGTCATATCCGGGTCACCGTCGAAGGTGCTGTCGGCGTTCCATCCTGTAGAGCTGACCCTTCAGCTGGGACTTTTTGATGCCAAAAGATGTCCTGGGGCGTCTCGGGTGGGTCCCTGGTACCTGGAACGCTGGTTTAGCTGGATGTGTTACCCTCTGGTAATGACTGTTACATAGCTATTGAAGCCATGGCCCAGTCGAAATAGTGGATTTACCCATTAAACATGGTGATTTTCCATAGTTATGTTAGTTTACCAGAGGGTAATAGGTTTTTGACCTATCCCGTTCAGATTGACGACCACAGGCTGAGGAGTTGCTGAAAATCGTTTTTCTTGGGAGATTGATCTTTAAGACCAGAATGAAATGAAGTACATCTACGGGAGTTTGCGTGGGGATTCTCAGATTCAAAACCTTGTCAAGACAACATCGCTTCGCACAAGGATTTGTTCAGACTCTTGTGCCAGTGATTGGCCGCAACTTCAACCAAACTAAGCATACTGTACTGTGCATCATCTGGTACCACTTGACATGACATTCGCAAAATTGTTCAAAATTGCGCGCCCTTGAATTCACTCGCCCCTAAATTTCAGTCAGAAAACGTCAGAACACTGAAAACACGTCCCCAAAGTTTTGGGAATAAATTTCTTGATATATATTGTACAATAATGGATCTGCATTGATTTCTGCATCGATTTCATACCCATTATTAATCATTATTATATAATTATATGATATATATGTATTCATTACAAGTATATAACTATATATATGATATATGATTATAATTATGATATATGATATATGGTATTTCACATCGTGTACCATGTGCATCTCCAAGGATCCTCAGAGTAAACTGTTGCCACGACGCCAAAGCCGCCTGCAGCAGGATCACTTTCCGATTGCTGCGTGCCGCCCGCAGCAGCCGCACAAAGCTGGCGTGCCATCGAGTCGTTTGACGCTGGAAACGGGTCCAGGAAAACCAGGCGGAGATCAAGGACCTAAAACGGGTGGCCAGTTGGGTGCAAAATACCCAAGTTACCAGTTACTTGGATGGTTAAAACGTGTTAAAACTTGATAATTAAAAATGGATTATCATTCCATACATGGGGTTGTAACTTAGGGCCATGACTGTGTGTCCCGAAGCCGCTTTGTGTATCTCCAAATCGTCATGCGAATGTAGGTGTTTTATGATGATCAACGATGGGATTTGGAGGTCGCCTATTCTCAGACAAACCCAACATAGCTGGGATGGATGTTCATCTTTTGCGAATACATCTATGGTATTCCATGTCGTGTTTTGATCCATTCTCATGTGGAGCGATTTTTGGAGTTTTGGTCAATAGAAACGCTGGTAAATCATTAATATATATATATATTGCTATTTTGCTACCCCGCACCAAAAACAAAGAGTAAATTAATAGTTCCTGCCTTAAGTTTCCTTCAAAGCGAGACCGGAAACTGAAAACAATCCACACCGTTGGGTGGTAGCCTTTGGATCCCACATAAATGGGCGTAGCTTTTGGTTTTGTCCTTCAAATCTCCTTCAATTTTAGTAGCATTGCCAATCTTAGATATCCTGCAAACGAAGAAATTCTTAGCTCGTTAGTAGATATTCCTATTGAAATCGCGAAAAAATAAAGGATTAACCTACCATAACCTACCCATCCAGTTGGTTGACCCAGTTGGGGTCAAGAAACAACTTTCGTGCTAACAAGGCGCTTTGCTGCTTGCTTGATCTCCTGCTTTTCCAGAACTCTTCTCTGTTTGACTTCACTGGAAAGAGTGAGGCTCCGCCAAGACGTCCAACTTCGCCGCAATCGACTCTGCGTCTTCTGTCCCTTCCATCGATCTTCACATCTTTGCAGCCATCGCAGCGTGCCAAGCTGAAGTTTCCAAGCCTGGAACGTCACTGGCAGCCACCAGCGGTTGGATTTTGCTTCCAGTTTCAGGCTGTTCGTCTTCTTTTCGCTTCGAAGTTTGCTGCGAAGTCGCCACTGACTCCAGGCACTGAAAAAGCGACAAATCAGCTGTCCTTCAGCGGCCTTGGACCTCGCCAGCACCAAAGCAAGGACTTTGCTTTCGGAGGCGGCCATGGTCTGCGGACGGGCGCTGCGGTGACGTGCCAAAGCCTAGCTGTTTCATGGCGCAAAAATCGATTTGCAGCTTCAAGCAGCACCAAATGGACATGCCAAGACTCCAAGACCAAGAGAAACTGTGGTTTACTCCCAGTGATCTCCAAGGATTAAATTACTATATATAATCCCCGACCCCAACTGGTTCAGGAGTAGGGGGGGTGGATCCTACATTTCTGATAATGTATGAACATAAGGGGGGGGTTAACCCCCTCACTTTTTGCCAAAAATGTATGGGAACTAGGGGCGGTAACCCCTCAAAATGAGGCATGTATCCTGGAGTTTTCAAATGTTCAACCGAGTATCCTGGATTTGCGACTTCAAAGAGAGATCTTGCATCTGTTGGCAATGCCTAGCCCAGGACCGGAAGATCTTCGTGAGATTTCCACGCTCCACTCGCATCAACAGATGGGCTGACCAGTAGCGACGAGAACGTGTCACTCGCCGCTGCTGCGCTTCCAAGTCCTGGTGAAAATGACAAAACGCAATCGGTGACTGGCATCATCATCATCATCATCGTCATCATCATCACCACCATCATCATCATCATCATCATCACCATCATCATCATCATCATCACCATCATCATCATCATCACCATCATCATCATCATCATCATCGTCATCGTCATCGTCATCATCAACATCATCATCATCATCATCATCATCATCGTCATCGTCATCGTCATCGTCATCATCATCATCATCATCATCATCATCATCATCATCAATAACGATAGTGATATATAATGGATCTGATGATAATACTGATACAAAAATGATATTACTCCTTCTACTACACCACTACTATTCTTATGACTACTGGTAATATTAACAATAGTAATAAACATAACACTAATAATAATGATATAGCAATAACAACAATACTAACAATAATATTAATGATCCAGAACGGGCCCTCCTGGGAGTGCCATTTTCGCATGATTTAAAATGATATGTTGAAAGGTGTTGCTGCACTCCCAAGGGCACTTTTACACATGAAAATTGCATAACACCATTGTTCAATTTGATATTGTGTGAAGTCATCAAGTACTTTCTTAAAGGAATGCTGCGCTCTTGAAAAAAGTCATGTGTATATTCAATTTTCATCTTAGAGAGATGCTACCCTTCTGAAAGGACTACTATTATATACCTCTATTGAAGAAATGCAGTGTTTGTTCCAACATATTTGGAAAACATGATGCACTCTTTTTAAAGGAATGCTGTGCATATCTCAGGGCCCTGCTTCAAAGTAATGATACACTTTGTCAGAGGAATGTTGCCCTCTCTGTAGGAGAATGTTGCATGGAGGTATGCCACAACTTCCTCAAGGAATGCCACAGTCTTTTAAATGAGGACTTATGAGAAGCACGCTGTTGCCCTCAAAATCCGAGTTGATACTATGTTTAAGAACCTGTTGCCCTTCAAGAGAACGGCATGCTTATCCGTACAAAACGTTCCATATATCTTTATGATGGGAGCTCTGTCAAGAAGATGCTGCAGTACTGCTTGGGGACAAAATTAAACCTCCTGTCGATCAAAAGTGTTGTTTCCTCTTGTTCATGCTTGCTGCTGCTACAAAGACACGCAGCAGAGAAGCAAACACCACCCTATCGTTTGAGCGTGGCGCAAGCGGTCAAAATTGAATTTCATTTCTCTTTGATATTCATTGGCTCAATACAATATTTCATCACAATAATACTTTTACTACTACTACTACTACTACTGCTACTACTACTACTGCTACTGCTACTGCTACTGCTACTGCTACTACTACTACTACTAATAATAACGATAATATATAATTATTATATATAGTAAACTATCATCATCATCATCAACTGCCGAAACCAACCACCATTTCATCAGCCTTGGATGCTTCCGCTGCATGCGTCTCCCAGCGACGCTGGCTGGCCCAAAGACCTTGGCTGGTAATGATTTGGATGGGGGTACCCCATGACTTAGGAAACCTCTGGACCTGTTGGACCTGTGTTCTCATGAAAAATGATCAAAAGTTTGATCAACCCAAAGTCTCGAATTCTGGAATGTAGCTTTCGAACTATGAAAAAGTCTAGAGTATGCCCAAGAATCTTCAATCATCCATCATTTGATGAGCATTCTCAGTTCATACAAACCATATACAAACCATCAAACGCAGATTTCATTGCCAGTGGCTGAACGAGATAAAAAAACACATTGGTTTGTCCGTGTATTCGAAGATATCACAAGGGGTTGGTTTATGGACAAATCTAAAGGAAAGCCATGGAGATTTCCCTCTCGAAATTTACGGGCGAAACCATTTTGGTTTCCTGCACAGGTTCTGCAAACATGTCCTTCATCCAAGTCTGGGAATACATATAACATTTCTATAGATTGTAGATATATGGGGATGGGTCAAAACCTATTATTATCAATTCTAATGGGATGAACATTCATTTACCAGCTATTTTGATGTTCACCAGGGGTACAAGGTTTTGACACACTGCCATATAGATTTATATAACTACATACAACATACTACAACTGTCTGTGGTGCATTCTTTGATTGGCACGTGCCGTTTTTCTTGCTGAGAAACGAAAGGTCTGCAGCGCCCTTCGCCGGATCCGATCCTCGTAGAATGACCGACAGAATTCGCATTTTCGTTGGCAATGTAAACCATCACCCATGACGGATCCATGGTGCTGCTATATATGGTGTGCCATGGATCCCATCAAAACAAACCCCCAATCAATGTTAGCATTTTTCTACCAGCACCTTTTTAATCCGTAAAAAGGGTCATGTTTCTTTTGATTTTTGGAGTCACTCATTTCCATCTACCCTCTGGTAAACATACAAAAAACTATGGAAAATCACCATTTTTAATGGGAAAACTCATTATAAATGGTCATTTTCAATAGCTATTTTGACATAACCAGAGGGTAGCGGCATAGCTTCGTCCCGCCTCACAGTGTTGGAGGCGGTTAACCAGACAGTGAAGAGCACGTCTCCTCACCACGTCGAAAAAAGGACCGCTGTTGTGGCTTTGATACCACTGCCCCAAGTCCAATGGAAAATCCTTGGACATATTTGGAAATAATATTAGTGTTTCATTGTTTTTTTCCATAGTTTTTATGTTTTTTTCCCACTAAAGCTTGCATCTTAAATATCTTAAGGGCCCGAATCGCTCCCTTCTTGACATGCCCTAGGCCTGTATCACTGTTGCTGGGCCACCGACTGGGCGGTAACATGTCCGTAAATGGAGGATGTTCATGACAACATATGACAAAAAGAAAAACAAAATGAGGATTCATCATGGGATATGTGCCAACCGCCCTTTCTTTAGATGGTAATGGGTTATTCCATGATATTACAATCTCCCTTGCTTTAAATGGGTGGTATACCCAATGAAACAGCCTAGACTTTGTTGATGTCATAGCTGCATCGACAGTAAATCCTCCCCATCCTCCGAAAGCAATAGCCGTGCCAATGCATCAACACTTTGCACAGCTGATTGTCTGCCACACCATGCGCAGCTTTTGCCAACCTCACAAAAACACAGACATGGGGATCTGCCAACCTCGCAAAACTGGGCTACTAAACAATGGTAAATATGGGTAAATATGGGTAAATGTTGTACCTTCAGCCCTGGAAAATCAACGACACTTTGATGTCACGGAGTGGCGTCCCCTCGCACTGGGACCCTGCAGTCGAAGTGGCACACGCTGTAGAGGTCCATCAGGAGCATTACCTCAGCTGCTGTCGCTTGGCAGTTGCACCCCATCCCCCGAAAATGCCCTGAAACACCCTCCAGAAATCGTGGTTTAATCGGAAAATTGCATGCGTTTTGAGGCATTTAGGGGTCTTTAATAACTTTAATTTAGGGGGATGGGATCGTAATATATTGTAATGAGAAACCAATCCCACAACAGGGATGCCGAATCCCTGTACTGTACAGTCATGCTTGGCATCCAGTATGAAACCAAGATGAAAGATGCTTAACCAGGGGGGTTGTCATGACGAACCATTATAAACCATTACATAGTTATCGTTATATATATATATTAATATATTATTAATCATGGTTATATCGTGAGAATATGAGGAGATATTTCGCCAACAGATTTCGATCAATCATCGAGATCCAAGCGTCTCTCCGCGGGTTTCTGCGCGGAATTGGGAGCAGACCTGGAAAAGGAAATCAGTTGGTCATTTCTTTGAAGGATCTAAGCAGATTATACTGGGATGAATGGGAACATCAAGAAAAAACACTATAAATATGAAGGTTTTAAGACCATGAATTTGATCCACCATCTTGAAAATACAAAAAAATCAAATGGAGGTTTCCATAGTCATGGGGGTACTCCAAAATGGATGGTTTATTTCATGGAAAATCCATCTATAAATGGGTGAGAACTGGGGGTAGCCCTATTTTGGGAAACCACCAAATGGTGATGGGATGTTATCTGGGATTTGCTTGAGGGGTCCCCTAAAGTACAGTAACAACTATTCCCTTAATCGAGTTCCCATTTTATGACACACCAAAATCATTATGACAAAGTTGCTGATGCATTCCCATCATATCCCCATTATCTATCCTTGAAACAAAAAGCGTGGATTCTTGGTCTAAGTTGTTCACATTCCATCCGTTCATCATGGTGAATGATGGTCGAATAATGATCAATAGCAATCATTTATGGTCAATACACATGAAAATAATGGCTAATAATGCTTGATACTGGTTAATGGTAAATAATGGTCACTAATGGTTGATAATGGTCAATCATGGTTGACACTTTTTAATAGTGGTCAATCATGGCTAACACTGGTTGATAATGGTCAATACATGGTAAGGGATCCGTCAGCAATTGCTAAATAACAAATTGACCACGGTTAGTCATGAACAGTAATGCTTAATAACGCTTGACAATGCTTCATGGTGATTGATAATGCTTTATATTTTTTGATAGTGCTTGTAGAAACGGATAATAACGCTTAATATTGGTTCATAATGGTTATAAATTATAACTAATATGGTTTATATCTCTGTTTTTGGCCCATAACGGAGGTGACTACCAAGTACTTCCCTCCATCCCCACGGCAAGATAGCGCCTCAACCAACTCTGCCAGCTCTGCCAACTGTCCTGCAGATCGTAACAGTTTGCGAACTTGAAGCCATGGCCATTTCGTTGATTTTCCCATTAAAAAAATGTGATTTTCCATAGTGAACTGTTAGTTTCCCAGGGGGTATATTATATATCACATTAACATGTCTGTGTAATTACGCATAGAATGAATATATCTTTACACAATTGAAAACATATGCACTTCACTGTCCAACCGCGAAGGTGCTGGGATATATAACTGAAGCTTCCAGTCTTTACATAGTCGTGTCGAAATATTTGAAACAAGAAAAGTGTCATCACCAAATATGTATGCATATATATATACATACAAGTGTATATATATAATAGTGTATGTTTATGTATGTATATATATATATGTATATGTATGTGTATATATATATACATATTTATGTAAATGGTTCCTGCCACCCCCCACGGAACCTGCCCACCATGGTCTGATAAATCCTCCATTGGCATCGGTGTTTGTGTTGTCATGGTACCCTCCCCGCTGACTTTGGACCTCGGCTTCTCAGCCGCAATTTGGGCGGCCAGGTTAGATTGCCAGGCGACATATGTCCCTGTGGCAACTTCAGGGAGGAACACATGGGATCAATATGTCAATAGATATTTGTATAATCAATAATTAAATCAATAAATGGGATAAATTTGGCAACTTCTATAAATTTGCCAGGAACAACAGCGGCTAAACAGTAGTGCAACACAAAGATTCATTTCTCTCAGCTCTTCACCGAGACATTCCGAGCCGTGCCATGAAGAAATCAGTCGGTCATGAGTTGGTAGTCTGAACCATCAACATCTGAAAGACATGAAATACCACCGAGTTTCTTTTAGATGTGACCCTGGGACAATGATATATATTTGTTTTACCATCCATCATCCAACTATCCAAAAACATATATTCAGTGATGGACAATCAATATCAAGATATGTCAAGCATCCCAAGTACCGTTTGTAGACATGTTGCGTAGATATGCGTAGATGAATTGCCACCACTGGACTGAACTTTGTTGGATGCTTCTTCACTCCCGAACTCACCAAGATACCTCTCTGGTGTAGCCGTTTCTGATGGACCTGAAGGGTAGGATTCATTTTCACTTTGGACTTTGATCAATTATATGACCCATGACGGATCCATGGTGCTGGTATATATGCTAACATGACTGGGGTATATTGATGGTAAATGTTACCATATATATATAGCATACATGGATCCTATGGGTGAGTGAGTGTATACTCCAAGGGCCTAGGTCGCGTCGCGTCGTTTGGGGGCCTAGCCGCTTACCATTGGGGGTGCAGTTCCAGTAATTTGTGTGGTTAAAAAAACCCATAATTATGCAAAGATACCATGGAGGTATATTACCACATATTACTGGTTATTATTGGGTAATAAGTGGTAATATACCGATGTAAACTCTCCGAAGTGATGGAGGTGAAGAACCATGGCAGTTAATCATTAGTAATCAATGCTAATTTCATAGCCCCTCCAGCCTCTGAACAGATTGAAAGCCTGCAGACATTGCCGTGCACAGAGTCGCGACAGCAGCCGCAGCAGCATAGAGCAGCCAGCATTGCGTAGCTTCAAGAACAAGCTAAAGTACCTGAGTTTCTTCAGACATGTCAGACATGTGAAGTGTATGCCCTCTGGTAATCTAATGCTATGGAAAATGGCTGGTCTGTGAATGATTTACCATGATTTACCTATCAATGAGGACGTTGAGACTTTCCATGGCAAACTCACTGATAGATTAAAGACCACATCGAGAACATCCCTGGGCACCTATGTGCTGGTGGTGTGGTATTCTATATAAGTACTGGACTTTCAATTCAGATTCAAAGTGCATGTCCAGTTTACCACCCAAGCACCCACCCACACCCTACTTGTCAAACAGGGCTGGAAAGTTGCCCGGTTGCTTGGTTTATGACTTACCCCATGACCTTTGAACATTCTGAAGAAATCCACAAGGTTATATTTTTATGTTGATATGGTTATGGCAATTGACAATCCCTACAAATGAAGGCTTTCATGGGAAAAATCGACTATAAATGGTGGATTGTCCATTGACATGTTTGATTACTGGAGGGTAACCAACGATCATGGTGATATGGGGGATATGGGGTTAGAATTCTCTGGATCAATTGTAACAAATCCCTAGTCCGAACTCGCGACGTGAGGTCGCAACATACTGAACATCCAGATTACAAAAACCCACAGTATCCCACTACCCATATGCGAACCATGGTGCTGGTATATTTACCTACAAAACTGGTTGATTTTTAGAGCAACAACGTTGGTAAACGTTCCAGCGCCATGGTTCGCATATGGGCTATATTCCTATTAGATCCCACAAGGTCGCCCCATGGCTGACCTGACTCCAAGGGGCATCTGGCGCGCTTCAGACACAACTGCAGAGGACCACTTCAAGGACTGTTGAACATATCCTGCGTTCTGTGCCCCAGGTCATTAGCTAAGTTGGCGAACATAACTTTAGCTCACAAGGGTGTTTGGTAGATATGATATATATATATATATATATTTATATATATATATGTAACATGCTGAAGGTACTATGGTTTACAAACCAACTTCAAATTTGGGGGAGCACCGCCTTGTGACCTGTTGAGGAATCCGTCACGAGTAGAAAACATGGCGTTGCAGCAACGGGGTGACTCCATGCGCAGAACCATGAGTTAATTACCCTCATAAGTTAGGATACTCTATGGTGGATGTAACATGATGTACCCTCTGGTTATGTCAAAATAGCTATTGAACATGGCCATTTATAGTGAGTTTTCCCATGAAAAATGGTGGATCTTTCCATAGTTACGTTAGTTTACCAGAGGGTAACTATAGTTAGTGGGGGTTGCAAACCAGGGGCACCTTGCACAACGATGCTTATAACAACCAAGTCTTAGTCGAATTGACCACCAAGTAAGGCCCGCTGGTCGGGGAAATTGGGTGGCTCTAGTAAATCAGAAACTAACATCAGCCAGAGCAATTTCATCTAGTACAGATTTCCACAACATCTACAGTCTGTACGATATGTTCTAGGGTCACAACAGAGTACATTCTTTGTGGTCATCCATTCCATAATGGGAATCCTTATAATGGGTATTTCACTCCCTGTAACTCCCTATATCTCCCTATTATCTGATTGATGATCATTCCCCAATACGTTTGACGAACCCATGTTTTGACCTTGACACCTATGGGAATATTGGCCTGAATTCAAGACGTGTCTACCCTCAGGATTGGTCGTTGTCTGCGTCTGTCCTGTCTTGCAGTTGACCCATCTGAATTCTTCACCCCCCAAAATGTGAAAGTCAATTGATATCACCCCCTTTGCAAGAATCAAAGAAAGACGTTATTAAAACATATTGAAACCATGGTTCATATGCAAGTCCAATCAACCTCAGAATGATGATATTTCTCCATTTCACATATTATACATTTATAGATGTTTGTTCATTGTGTATATTCAGAATACATCGGAACATATACAGTAAATATATGTATCTGTAAATATAGACAATTGACAATTATATATATATATATTTTTAATAGATAATGATATTTACCATAGAAATGGCATTTCAGTAGTATGGAACATAAATTGCATATGTATATATATAATAATATATATAATAATATATATAATAATAATAATAAATAAATAAATAATAATAATAATAATGATATAATATAATATAATATAATATATATATATGGCATCTTCCATCTTTGTCCCATCCTTTTCCCCGATGTCCACCGTCAAACATCCTCTGTCTTCTGTCGTCACAGTCTCCAAACAGCTCGACGGAACTGGCAAGGCTTCAGTCGCCTGTGGCGGTCCGTTTCGAGATGACTCTGGTAAAACCCGATGGTCAATCTTTTGGTATTTGATTTTCCCAACAAGAGTATTTTTTTGCTGGTTATTTTTCCATATATATATATAGAATATATATATATATACACATAGATTATATATATATAGCCTTATATATATATATATCCTTTTATAGCATGATATAGCAACAAACTACCCAGCATTAGTTTCTAGCTCTCCCAGCTTGGGAATGAACCATTCACCAGCTGGATGGATAAGGCTCTCAGGGGTCCAAGTGCTACCGTGACTCCATGACCCAAAAAAAATGACAACAACTTTCAAACAGACTCAAACAACATCATAAATAGTATAATTAATGATGATTAATGGTGATTAATGGTGATTAATGATGATCTAATGGTGATTATATAATGGTGATTAATGGGGATTTAATGATGCTTAATGATGATTAATGATGTGAATTATAGTATATATTAGTATATACTATATCTGGTTGGTGGTTTTAACCATCTTGAAAAATATGAAAGTCAATGGGCAGGATGACATCCCATATATGAAATGGAAAATAGAACATGTTCCAAACCACCAACCAGATTATATAAGAGGTTCTGTCATGTTCTGTCCTAGTTTTTTCATAATTCACGAATAGACCTGTAGATCATGCCAGTAGCATCACTCTCGTAGAGCCACTGCTGGGAATTGGCATGAATTTGATACTCCCAGCATTCCCCCTTATCAAAGCCTGTTAAAACATGTTCACATGTAGGTGGAAAAATTGCAGCTTGTTTTCTTGCCCGACGACTCTGCCTCAATGCTCCAGCTGCTGCAATCATGCAACCTCCCCCAAACTCTACTTGATTTTGTCTTAAATATCTTAAACTAGTTAACATCCCCCCAACTTTGATGGCTAATTGACCTTGTCGATTCTAAAATTTGCCGTTTTTCTGGCGGCTGTCCCCATTGATCAACACGATGGCCTCTCCACGGCTGAATGCACAGGCGTCTTCTTGCAGACGCTCCGGATGTAGGAAGCTCAACAAATGCTGCAAGTCTTCGACAGCAGTGAGGGCCCAGGACTCACCAGAGCCTAAGAAAAGTGGCCAGGAATCAGGGAAGAGACAGGAATTAGGAATCCATGAAATGTGGGGCTGGATTTTTCAATGTGGGGCAAATTTTGGGGCTTCAAAGATCAGCGAATGAGCCAACCATTTGGCGTCTGCAAACCAGTTGCGTCTGTCATGCTGTTCTCGAAGATTTGCCTTGGTGCAGTCTCCAAAGTGGAAGGAAAAGACATGATGATTTGATCCTGGCTGGTGACAACATGTGACAACCAAGTCTCTAAGGTTAACCGTGGATTAGATGGCCAAGAATAATCAAGAAACGAGAAGCAACTTGGCAATCAGATTCTCATCTTAGATGATTCATGATCTTCGAAAACTGGAGACGTGGATTGTCATATAAGTCATCTTGGAATCGCTCAGATAGATCGGTCACAACTTCGCACCAAAGTACTTGCTTGGCCAAAGCCAACAGCCGCTGCTCCGAATCTTTCAGCTGCCACAGCATGTCCTGGATCCAGCTGTCGCAACATGTGGACACTACGAATCTCAGCCCACGCAACATCTTTGGTCTCTGCTTCGCCATCTGTTACAGTGTAGCAATGTATACCATCTGTAATTTTTATGTTGATACTACCTTTTTTTCACAAAAAATGTCTATCTTGGTGAATGACACCTGCAATTTTTGCCCCTTTGGGAGTGAGCTCTGTTTATCTGGCTGTCAGCTCCGTGGGAAATCCCTGGGAAAATCCCTGGGAAATCTGGTGGATGGCCGCTGGCCTGAAGGTCTTGCCGTGACTGTTCTCGCAGCTCTTGCGCTTGGTGTTCAGACTCAACCAAATCCTTGGCAAAAGATAGGCCGTAGATCAACCGGAGGCAAAAACATGCAATGTATATGCCTAGACCTAGACCCTCACCGCATACAAAGTGTGTGAAAGTATTAAGATTAGGAGGTAACACATATACCAATACATATACAATACAATATTATATATATATGATGTGATAAAGTGATGATGAACTATATATTTCTATCATGTTGTATCCCAAGTACCATATCCCATTTTAGTTTGATAGGTGTTCCCCCATTTTTTAAGGCTGCATTGATTCAACAACTCACCAACTCACGATGAATCTAGTCGCATCGTTACGGGTATCCGTAATGTATCTGTAGCAAGATATCAAAGTCATAAGGTCTCCCATTGTGTCTCTAAAGTGCTCATTACCCTCTGGTAAACTAACACTTTGCGAACTGGAAAATTGCCATTGAAATAGTGGATTTACCCATGAAAAATTGTGATTGTCCATAGTTTTTTCTAAGTTTACCAGAGGATATCCCACATAGATTCCTGTTGAATTGTGAATAAGTCCGACTAGCCATGTTAGATTACCAAAGGGCTACTTCATTTTTCCATTTTAAGCGCTGGTCACAAGATGGTGGGTTCAATTTGGTCATCCAGGTCATCCATCCCAATGCCACGAAATGACGGGAATCCACACATCAGGGCCTGGTGATATGTCGCCGCTTTTTTATTTAGCCATCCAGTGAATCACTATCCCATAAAAAATATCTCTGATTGTTGATGGTTAAGCCCCAATTTTTGTGGGCAAATCATCCAATTTGATCATCCAATTTCATCCAATAGTTGGTTATATATTGCATTAAATCTCCATGACTGTCCCATTTTCAACCAACATTTCTACCAACTTGACCATGGCACATCTGTTTTACGACATTAATCGACCCCAAAAAAAACATCCAACTTCCACCACTTCCCATCCCTGCAACATGGTGCTGCGCGCAATTAGAAGTTGCTTTATAACCCCACTAACTAGTTTGACATATCTATCATAGAAATAACACAAGGTAAACCCAATGCCATAAACCTGCCATTTGGCGATGCTTTATGCAACTCATTTATGGTGATTTTGGGGATGGTTTACTTTTTGTTTGCTTCCCACTGATAAGTTCCTTTATAATTGACTATGTATATATATATATATACACAATGTATATCAAACCACAAGTCCTAGTTATTAGACCACATGTTGGTTAATTATTATTATATAATAATATAATACCTATGTATATATATAATTATATATATATATATCATACCACAAGTCCACAATATACATGGTGGTGTCCTGAAATATTGCAATACCCCCAGTTCTCATCGGAAGCCACGCCACAGCTTTGGCCCGTGCCAGCTCCATGCGAAGCCGCGTGGTTTCATTCGGCGCTGCCTGGCGAAACTCGTTATATTTTTCCGGACATCGCCGGTTTCCCCCAAAACACAGGAGAATTGGTAATTCATGGCAGGATCTAACATTAATATACATTAACATACATTATATTAGTTATGTAACATATAGAATCAAGTAGTGAATGTTAACTAATGTCAACTAATGAAAGAGATTTTTTTTTTATCAGGATTAAATTCTATGAGTATGTCTACTAATGTAATAAACATGGACTTCGCTTTTTTTCAGAAACACCATTTTTTTACCAGAAAAAAAAACATCGGAGCTCAACTGGAGACTTGGGATCCAATTATCCAACTCATCATGATCAATGGGAGATCTTCAGGATCCAACAGATGGAGGTATGTAAACGTACCATATAATCAAGCCCATATTTTGTGGGGATATTCCCTGAAATTTAGGCCTCAAAAATAGGCCTAAAAAATATGGTAGGTACCTCCAATTTAGGATCATGAAATGGCCATTGACATCATGATTAGTTACTGTTACCTGGCTATGACTAACAGTTCGCCATGGTATAGATGGCCCAGTAGAAATAGAGGTTTACCGAACTTAAAAATGGTGGATCTTTCCATGGCTATGTTAAGAACCAGATGGTATATATTGTATAATTAGTTAGTTATATAATAATTGGTTATATATATATATATATTATTATTATTGAATATATATATATATACTACTATAATTATACATAATATATATATATTCAATAATAAATGGAACTGCATCCCCAAGGATATCCCGCAATGTACTTTGTCAAACACTGCTCCATGCAGACACTCTAAATTTCATGCCAGAAACCGCCTGGCGGCCCGGCGTTTAACCATTCTCGACCATAAATCAATAGTCCTTTGGCCTGCTTAACTTGGGGGGGTACCATTTTAGTAGTGGATTGTTACTTTTCTGCGGAATCCCCTAATTCATCAAGGTTTATCAATCTGGTGTGACCATCAAAGTTGGACAACATATTCAGATTATTCAGGTATCAAACCCAGTACTTTGCGGCTGCGCGTGGGGTGAACATTTCATGGGTAACAGACATTGGCTTGTAAGCCAGACTTGGGAAAGTCTGCTTCTGCAACTATACTGGTAAAATATATCCACTTAGTTCACTGGAACTGCACCCCGAAGTAGACCCAATGCCATAAACACTACCATTTGGGATGATTTCATGGGATATGTCATGTATATATATATATATATAGTCCTATGGATCCAGATATATCAACCATAAAACATCGTCCCACTGCGAGTGGGCTATACGACTCGTTGGTTTACTGTACAGCTTTTCCATATGGGGCTCAGTTCCTAATCCCAACCAGGTAGTAGAACTATGTACAACTTATACTCATTCACCAATGGATAAATCAACCCAAAATGGCGCATTTTTTTTCAAAAAGAAAACGTTTTCTTTTGCATTGTTAATCCATGGCATGACACAATCAACGTGCTCACATCCCCGCACCTGCAGCCTCTGTGCCTCCGACGTCGATGGCTCCCGCAACGCCAGGGCTGTTGGTTCCACCACGGGCTTGGTCACTGGTCGCGCCAGGGGCTCGCGGATCGCCGGGCCGCCGGGGCTGCCGGGGCCGCCGGCTGCCCTGGCGGTGCAGGTGCATAAATCATGCCGAACATCAAAAGATGTTTCAAGAAGATCATTGACATCGTGATTATACTTGATGCTGTCATATGATATCAGAAATGCATCATGGTTTTTTTTGAACATTGTTGATCAGACATAAATGATTGGCGCTGCGATTGCCTATGGAAAATGGCGCCATTCATCGATGTTTTACCCAGCGAACGAAAAAACTCGCCATGTCGATTAAGTAATGGGGGGTTCCTTTCAGTAGACCCAAGGCCATAAACACTAGCGTTTGGGATGATTTCATGGGATATGTCTCATATACTGTATACATATGTATATATATATATAGTTCTATGGATACAGTATATATTATATACATATGGAAGTTTCCTAAGTCATGGGGGTACCCCCAAATCAGCTCCATATCCCTTTCCAGTTCGTCACTTAGAGCAGTGTTCCAAAGCCGAAATGTCGTCCCGTATCGTTGATGGATAGGGATCCCTCTTAGGGATTGCGATTCTCCCCAGTAGATTCCCAGTAGATGTAGATAATATATATATAGCATATATATATATATATGTATATGAATATATATGTATATTAATATATATGCATATTAATATATAATATAGTTGTGAGATTTGGTGAGTATAAATATATTGTGTTCTTTCTATCCTCGAACTCATCAACGGTTGTTTTGTCACATTTTCACACTGCTCACGAATGGCGACCGTCACGGCACCTAGCAATGGCCAATGGTTCCCGGATCGCCATGAGAGGTGCCACGTCATGACCCTATGACGTGCCTGAAATCTCAGAAAACTACATGAGTTCAACAGAGTTCAACATGAAACCAATTCCATAGTAGTTTTCATTGAATTCTGAAACAACAGTTTCAATTTTTCACAACAAGCAATTCCAAATCCAACACTAAAAATCTCAGTTCATCTGTCTATTTCCATTGATTTCCATTGACTTTCCATTGGCACAACTTGCAAATGCTGCAGGAGGGTCACAACGGGAGGGAGATCAATGGGCCGGGATTCAACTGATTCAACTGATTCAACTTCGCTCAAAATTTTCTGAGGCGACCCAAACAAAAAAAACACGGGGTTTATGAATGATTAATGATGATGGTTCTGATATGGTTAATGATGGTTAAGCATAGCTGGTTGGTGGTTGAGCCCTACCCCTCTGGAAAATATCAGTCAATTGGGATCATGACATTCCCAACTGAATGGAAAGTCATAAAATTCATGGTCCAAACCACCAACCAGAAATAGATTCACCAGCAACGTGTCCACCTTAAAAGGGCCATCAGCAGCAATCTTTCTGCGAAATCTCTGGAAGCATCTCCATCTGTCGCCGGTCAGCATTGCAGGAGCTCGCCGTTGGTTTCGATGCATTTCGATGCGTTGCTTGTCAGATGTAGGTCGATGAGTGTGGTCGAAAAACATTCGGAGTCAGCAAAAAAAATAGAAATAGATAGGTCCATGTAGATCCATCTATAATATGTATCTGAATCATTCTGAATCTATGTTTTTCATATTTTTTTCAGTTTATTTTTCTGGTTTTCCATGGTGCCTTTCATCCATGTCCTATGGGCCGCGTCGCCGCGTAGCTCGTCAGACCTCCACGTTGGTGGTCGCACCCCAAGCCTTTGGATTGATGCGCTTCATCATTGCCTGCAGCTGATATACGCTGACATGTACATGCTTGGCTTTATAACCTATCTATATATGTGAATGACTATGTGTATATATATATAGTGTATGTATGTACATGTATATATATATATATCTTTATACATATAATTATATATATTTACATATATATATATATATATATTACATATATATTATAATATGGTTGTACTTCATACAAATGCAATGTGTACAACTGTACATATGTAATGAAGCATGCGGGAACATGCTGGTTAAGTGACCCTCTGGTACTCAAACGTGGCAATGGAATTAAATGGAGGTTTACTATTAAAACCATGGAACTAAATGACTGATTTCCAATTGGCATGATTGAACAATTATAAACATGTATAAACCCAATTAACTCTAGTTACACCCCCAATAAACCCAAGTTATTTGCGTCAACACAAAGCTATCGTTCGGGGGTCTCATCTTGGATATCCACCATGTGACCCCGTCCGTGGGCCTTGATCTGCTTGTTGGGGCCGCACTCATAGAAATCCGTGATCCCAGACTGGCCATGGCAAGTCAATCCAACAGACGAGGGAAACTGAAGATTTTTCGGCCGTGGGGCCCGCATCAAAATCGAATATTTTACCAAAGATGGAGAAAACTAATGGTTTTATCATCAAAAATTGGAAAAACCAGGAAAAATATAGGTTTTACCATCAACAAAAAAAACTGGAAAAATCAATGGTTTTACCATCAGAAATCTTTGGCTAGTCAATGAATTGTGTTAAGGCATCATTTACAGGAACCATACAGTAGTTTTTCCCCAAATGTTGGCGTTTCCCGCACATTTTCCACACGACGATTCTTGGGACAAAGCCGCACCAAATATGTGGCCATATAGGCTATAGGCTATAGGGAAGTGGATTGAATTCCAACGGCCAAAGCACCCATGAACGACCGGCTAACAGCCCCCCTGCCTTGGGGGTCCCTTGCAGATTCCAGGACTTTTTAAAGGAATCTGAAGGTTAAAAACATCAGAGATCTAATTGAATCCGAAAGGTGAATCAGCCACACTCAGACACTTTGCTGGACGAACTGGTTGGTTTTTTTCCCCCATCCCCCCAAAAAAAAGATGCTCGTTATCTCAAGCAATCATCCCATATTTATACGGTCAACAAACAAGAAATAGCTCAAAGAAAATGGGAGTATTTAAAATAAATAGTTGAACATCATTCCATGCGTGTGGTTGAAATTCCGATAGTATTTCATCAATGGTGGTTCCCAAAGTCATGGGGGTACCCCTGATCCAAGTCGTTACCCGTGGGGAATCGGGAACCCCCATGACGACTAAGAAACTCCCATTGTATACTACCATAATATGACCAGAAATCTTATCACTGTATTAATTACCATAATATTGCCATAATATTGCCATAATGTTGCCATAATATGTCCATAATACTAGCATGCATAGTATTGCCATAAGATGTCCATATTATTATTACAATCATTCCAAGAAACCCAAAAACATATCCAAATATCTCCCATTCAAAAATCATATCATGTGTCATCAACATCTGAATCATATTAATTCATATGAAAACCACATTATATTTGCCATGAAACCTGCCTTCAATAGTTGAAACCTGCAATCATCATCTTAATCAAACCCCAAAAATATCATCTCACTTTTGGTCCCTGTGGGACTTGGATGTTTGGGACATTTTGGGAACCCACATGACTTGCGACCGATCCAAATTCGCAACGAAGCGTGGAACCCCGGGGCCCCAAAAATCCACATCGCCACAGTCACCGAAATCATCTTCTGCATCGATGGCTCCCAGAGGACTGGGCTGGTGAGCTGCTTCTTCAGCAGCTCAACCACTGCCTGAACAACCCTTGAAGGAACGAAAGGCTGGTAGCACCCTCCGGTCAGTCCCCCAAAAAAATGGGAAAAGTATAAGAACCACGGGGTAAAATAGCATTTTTAGGAGTACTTGGAAGGTCTAAGGAGGAAAAGAATGGAAACATGTACTAAAGGTTGAGGTAAGAAAGCCATTTTTTATGGGTGCTTGGAGGGTCTAAAAAGGAAAATCATTACATAACAACTATGATGATTTGGTGATGTGTGGGGTGTGTCTGTTGGATCTGTACCTATACACATTGTTGTGTCATGATTAGTGAAATAATTTCCTGAAATGTGTTCAATCAGCTGCATTCCGTGCCACCACACGACTCCAATGACTCCAGGTTTCTTCAGCCGTCCTGATAAACATGAACTGAACGTCATGGTGAGTCATTGTGGCTTTGAGGTTCTTAACAATGTTCTTATGCTTCTTTTGTGTTATCAGTTCTTGTCATGAAAATCCTTGATTTGCTTAAGGAACCACAACTAAACAATACATTCCCTATAGATTCTCCGTTCGTAGTGGCTTCCCCATTGGGAAAATCTCTCTATATATAATCATATATACACATGTTCTCATCATCTTCAGAAAAATCTCAAATGCTTGATTTTCCCAGCTATAAGATCTATAAGATGCTTGATTTGCCTCCATTTAGGCTGGATTTTCACATATTTTCCCATGAAAGCTTCAAAAATGAACGGAAATCCATCTGCGGAAACTGGCGCCTTGGGTTCTGTGCCAGGCTTTAGTGCCTCTCCCGTGGTGTTCATGTAGACGCTATGCTTCAACCTCGGTTCGTTGCTCCACTTTTTGGGCTCCAAAGCCGAGAAATACTGGCTCCAAATTCTTCACAACGGATACTTCACATATCTTCACATCAGCAGGTCTCTTTTTGCGGTGCACATAATAAACGCCACGACACAAACAAAAAACGGGGGCCCCGGGCGGCTGCATTCTGGGCAGCATGTCATCTAAGGCCTCCAAAATGCTGGAGCAGTTCAACGTTTCACCAAAAAACCCATGAAGGTGGGTAATTCCCAATGTCATGTTTACCATCCCCCAAAGAAATCACCATAAATATATAGGTGGTATTAATATGTTTACCATTCCCAGTCATGGGTGGTAAACATGACATTGTTTTAGCCCCATTTTTTTGGACGACTTTGATGTAAATCCGGGGCAATGCCTAGCAAGAGAAATCCAATATGATCCGAGGGTGAGTAATTAACCCTAGGGTGAACTAACGTAAATGTGGAAAACAATTATCACTATAGGTTTCCCTAGGAAAATCATCTACAAATGATTGATTGTCCACATCGAACTGTTGGTTTACCCTTGGGTATCATGATATGACCAATATGTCGTGTCCTTTCGAATTCTGGATCTGTCCCAGTTTTTTTGGCTCTTTTTACTCCTGGGAAAAATGTGTGCCCAATGAATGGGTATCATCTCCAGAAGCCCGAAAATGCCGCACCAAACACACCATCCTCAGCTCCTTATGTGCTCCAACGATGTGAGACTCTGCAAGGTGAAACGGATGACAACTGTGGGTATGTTCACTCAGGCATGAAACGTATTGTGGTCATGTCTTTGTCACAAAAAATCGTCACAAGATTAAGATGTTTGACATGTTTTCAAACATTCCCAGCATCTCTATGTTCCCATGATTTTTTCCGGGGACTGGTTGGTGACATGGTTGGTGACACTTGAATCTCAGCCACTGCCATGGTCCCATCATTTGGGGACCTCAGCTTGAAAGTCCACAGCAACCGACTGTCCGGGCACGTAGAGTCCAAAGACCGGAAACACCGAACTCCATCGCGCTTTGAAGGTCGATGTGCCGATCAATTGACCTAAAGGATGTGCTGAGGGTCCCATATTGGTGGATAAACTGGATGTGTTTTTTTCAGGTAGACATTCCAGGAAGACCCAGAAAAAACCCATAGAAATTGGGTAAACTACCACATCATTTGTATGTTCACCCATTTGTTGGGGGTACTTTTGAGTATCTTGGTACTTTGAGTGTCTTTGAGTGGATGAATTCTTAGGAAAATCGTGCAACCCATCGTAACCCCCAAATCCACCTTAAAGTTGATCATCATGTTTCGGAGGATATATTGTGATATATCATGATATACCCCCAATTTTGCTCCATTTTCCTGATGTATTCCCAGTTATATATATATATGTATATATTTAGGGGGTTCCCGCATTATGTGGGGGTTTCCCTCTAAATCAGCCATTGCATTTTCGGATGTTCCATGACAAACCATCCTGGTTGGTGGCATACCTACCCCTCTGAAAAATAGATTCGTTCGTCAGTTGGGATGACATGACATTCCCAAGTGTTTCTGGAAAGTCATAAAAGCCATGTTCCGAAGCACCAACCACATATCTCATTAACCATTATTAACCATGATGAACCATCATTAACCATCAATATCCCTTAATATCCCATTGGTTTTTGGGGTCCCCAAATGACTCAGGAAACCCCCATTTGATGGCCATGATCGGCCATCTCCCAGTGACGGTTGTGGTACCACTGGAGGCTCCCAGAGATCACGTCGTGACCTCACGAGGGCTGGTGGTTGGAATAGTGGAGAGACCCAAAAAGATGCCGAAAAGCTGCGCAAGTTACATTCAGTTACATCAACTTATATAATGTCAACCCCGGATTTTGCTAAACCATGGTTTATGAAAATTAGTGGGGTACTCCAATAGTCATAATCTAATGCTTACATGGTACCCTCCAAATTAAACAGCCGTTTGGTTTATGAATCCAGGGTTGACATTAATTGACTTTATATGATTTGATATCAAGTTATCACCAGTGGGTTTTTTATTATAAGTAATAGTATTGTTCGAACTTCTGGGTGGCACCTTCAGCGATACGAAACAAGATTCTTATGTGGGGATTGGTCAAAACCTACGACTATTGCCATATTTTTTTGGGAACAATCATCCATTAACCAGTTATGACTTAGAGTAGCTAGGGATACCTAGGGTATCAGGCTTTTGACTCATGTGATTCCTCTTTTGCACCATCTTATCATCAATACTCTAAGTGTTTCACCCATATACTTCACATCCAACCAATCCCTGCAATCTCACCATCATATCACTACTGTCCCGGGATCCCAAAAAGTTGGGCCCTCCCCAGTTACGTTTCTTAGTTTACAGCCCCTCTAAACTTTTCACTGGCAGATATATCTGTAGTCCTATTCTCTATACGTACAACTAATTGTAGTTCTAGTTGTTAATGGAACTTAACTATATAGTTTGATATATCAACTGTAAACCCCAACACTTGTTGGAGTTCTGTTTATCAACCTAGCGTTTACCAATCTCCAACGAAAATCACCACCACCGAACGTAGGGATGGCAAGGGGCAAAGGCCAAGACTCTCACCGTCACAGAGATTGAGGCCAGCTTTCACGTCATGCTCGCCTGAATGAACAGTGGTTCAGGTTTAGCATACCCCCTCCGGCAAGTTATGAGTTTGGATAGATGATGTACGGATCAAAACTACTGATTGTCCATCAGTATATATATATATACTGTATATATATATAATACCTAAATATATACCCGAAGAAAGGGATTGTGTTTTTCTAGTCGTCAACTGGAGGAAACATCTTCGTCCAAGTGACCAATGGAATCTCCCAGCAGCCCATTGTTGCTGTTGTACAAAACGCACTGCTGTAAGCCTCAGTTGATGCTGGTTCTCCCTTCCCCCAAAGATAGAACGGTAAAATCCTACCAAGATAGTAATAGTAATAGTTATTATATGGTTCTATCTTTTTTGGGGGTTACTACATGATTTTTGGGGGTTACTACATGATTTTGGGGGGTTACTACATGATTTTTGGGGGTTATTACATGATCTACGTGGTTATGTGCAAAAAATATGTTGGCACCAGATTTCGGAGCCATATACTCAGTCATTTTGAGAGATGTTGAATCATTTTGAGCTTCATTCCATACTAACATCGAGACATGTGGACCACCAGAACCCTCAAAATTGAGTAGGGACACTACAGTGGGGAAGTTGGGGGTCCCAACCATGGGGGACATACCAGGTGAACCCATTTTTTCCCGCTCCTGTGGAAGCAATATAATGTTATATAACTTGACACCCTTAATATGAAACACGCCCCAATAAAAAAACCTTGGTAAATGTAGGGGATGAAACCACATATCACTTGGACCATGATAATTATGGGCGTCTCAACAATTATCCACGGAAACGCGAGGATGGACCTTTTCCTGGGAAAAGGTCCGAATCAACCTGGCGCCGAGCCGCGAATGGAATGTGTCTCGGTGCCACTTGGCAAGTGGCCACAGACCCCCAGCGCCAAGCCTCCGCGCGTGTCCGGGTTCTGCAAGACTTTGACTTCGAAGTAGGAAAGCGTGGACACGGGCAGTGGCTGCTCAGCCCCAAGCACCTGTGGGACCCTGTGGGGATGGGTCAAGTTGCCTATTAAACCTATTACCCTCTGGTAAACTAACATAGCTATAGAATATCACTGTTTGAATAGGTAAACCATCTATAAATGGGCCATTTTCCATAGCAAACTGTTAGTTTAACAGAGGGTACCTATATTTGATGGAATAATGTCGGAATAACCATCCATTTTGAATCATACCATGTGGCATGAGCTCACCGACTTGGTCATCCTGTGTCGCAAACACAACTGAACCACAGAAAATTCATCTGGAGCTCTTCACAGCTCTTCAAGCAGAATTTGGGTGTTTCTTAAAATGGGAAATCCCCAAACACATGGCTTTCAATACTAAGTCATTGTCATTCATGACTTGGATGATTTGGGGTAATTAACCCCCTTTTTTTAGGAAACCTTAAACCTTTAATTTGGCTGCCCCAAAAGTATCGCCCCATCTTTGGTTCCTCGCCCCTGTCGCCTGCCATCCAGGGTGTGTGGCTCGAATGATGTGCAGCTCCTTTTGATCAACGAGCTGAGTGGAGATGTGCAAAGACGTTCCATGGAGTTGGTTCAGTCGATTGGTCTTCAGGAAAGGCCACAATTTCCTTGGTGGCTTGTGGGGATGGCTGATACCCAGCGACCAAGAGATACGCCAAACGGCCTTGGAAAGGCCGCAGTTTTGGCACTTCACCTGTCATGATTCCTGACTAACCAGTAGTCTTTAGACCGAAATCGCCACTGTTCAGACTGGTTCGTGGTTTCAACCCCCTGAACAAGATGCTCGAGAGTTTGGATTGTCATCCCATTTTTTACGGTTTGAACATATAAATAAATATAAATAATATCTTTGAAACCACCAACTAGATCATCATTGGTCACATACCCATCATAACGATATGCGGATTTGTCTGAAAAAAAACGGGTATCCCTAAATCCACTTGTGACTCATCGTGTTTTTGATAAAACCAGCAGCATTGGGGGGATAGTCCATTTTCAGACAGACCCATAAAGAAATATGTATAATATATAATAATATATATATATATACCCTCTGGTTATTTAACATAGCCATGGTATAGATGGCCCATTTATAGATGATTTACCTATTAATAATTATTAATAGCATGGTGATTTTCCATGGCAAACTGTTAGTCATAACCAGAGAGTATATCCTATGGATTCTCCCCCAAAAATTCCAAGGGTCTCCTGCAGTAATGCCAAGATATGCCAAGTATCCAGGCTTCGGCCAAGAGTTCCATGTTTCGCTTCTGCATTTGTGGCACCAGCGGCAAGGGCGCGTCCGCACGCAAGCGGCGGTTTCTCAGATACTCCACCACCATGCCGAAGCACTGAGGATTGAAATCCAGGAAAAAACGACCCTCTTCGTCTCCTTAGCGACAGAAGCGCAGCTCTCAGACCTGTGGAGTAGATCTTGAACAGCCTGTTCGCCCGCTTCCCAAGAAGACGTAAAAAACATGAAAAATCATATGTCCCTAAAGCAGAGGAACATATATAGGAACCATACTGAGCCATCTGCAAACCTTCTGCAAAAAAAACGTTTCCCATGTGCTATTTTTTGACATTTCCAGAAATCGGAAACGTCCCAAGCTGTATTGAACCAGCCTTAGTGATTAAGGGGCGATTCATAGTGGTCAATAATGGTTAATGGTTACTTAATATCACTAATAGTCCCAATGGTTAATAGTCCTAATGGTTAATGGTGAATTAATATCATTAATATCACTAATTCATGGTTAATGGTTACCCTCTGGTAATTTAACATAGCTATTGAAAATGGCCATTTATAGTGAGTTTTCCCATTAAACATGGTAATTTTCAATAGTTATGTTAGTTTACCAGAGGGTAATTCTATATTGGACAAATAGTCCCAATGCTGTCCCAAGCATCTGGGTATTTCATGGAGAAATTCGTCACTGAACATCTCCGACAGAACGGAGCCCTCGATTCCACAGATCGTCTCCTAGGATGTCCGGAGGTGTCCTAAAACAAATGGAAATTGATAGGGATTTATAGTGATTTAATGGGATCTTATAGTGATTGAATGGGATTAATGGGATATACCCGGCCTGGTAAACTGACATAACTATGGAAAATCACCATATTTGATGAGATTTAATGGAAATTGATAGGGATTTATAGTGATTTAATGGGATCTTATAGTGATTCAATGGGATCTTAATGGGATATACCCTCTGGTAAACTGACATAACTATGGAAAATCACCATTTTTGATGAGATTTAATGGAAATTGATAGGGATTTATAGTGATTTAATGGGATCTTATAGTGATTCAATGGGATCTTAATGGGATATACCCTCTGGTAAACTGACATAACTATGGAAAATCACCATTTTTGATGAGATTTAATGGAAATTCATAGGGATTTATAGTGATTCAATGGGATACTAATGGGATATTAATGGGATATACCCTCTGGTAAACTGACATAACTATGGAAAATCACCATTTTTGATGAGATTTAAGGGATTTATAGTGATTTAATGGGATCTTATAGTGATTCAATGGGATATTAATGGGATATACCCGGCCTGGTAAACTGACATAACTATGGAAAATCACCATTTTTGATGAGATTTAATGGAAATTGATAGGGATTTATAATGATTTAATGGGATCTTATAGTGATTCAATGGGATCTTAATGGGATATACCCTCTGGGAAACTGATCATAACTATGGAAAATCACAATTTTTGATGAGATTTAATGGAAATTGATAGGGAATAGTGATAATGGGATATTGATATGGGATCTTAATGATTTAATGGGATCTTATAGTGATTCAATGGGATGGGATCTTAATGGGATATACCCTCTGGGAAACTGACATAACTATGGAAAATCACAATTTTTGATGAGATTTAATGGAAATTGATAGGGATTTATAGTGATTTAATGGGATCTTATAGTGATTCAATGGGATATTAATGGGATATACCCTCTGGGAAACTGACATAACTATGGAAAATCACCATTTTTGATGAGATTTAATGGAAATTGATAGGGATTTATAGTGATTTAATGGGATCTTATAGTGATTCAATGGGATCTTAATGGGATATACCCGGCCTGGTAAACTGACATAACTATGGAAAATCACCATTTTTGATGAGATTTAATGGAAATTGATAGGGATTTATAGTGATTTAATGGGATCTTATAGTGATTCAATGGGATATTAATGGGATATACCCTCTGGTAAACGTTTACAGTTTGCGAACTGGAAAATGGCCATTGAAATAGTGAGTTTTCCCATGAAAAATGGTGATGTTCCATAGTTATCTTGGTGGTTGAGCCCTACCCCTCTGAAAAATCTATTCGTTCGTCAATTGGGATCATGACATTCCCAACTGAATGGAAAGTCATAAAAGTCCATGGTTCCAAAGCACCAACCAGATAGGATTTTCTCATGGATTTTATGGATTAAACAACCATCCATTTTGGATCATTTTGGGGTACCCCCATGACGACTAGGAAACCCTGGTTGAAACCCTCAAAGCATTAGCTCGACCTGGCTTGAATCGCCCATTTTGATATACAGAGGAACGGTGTCTTCCAACCCCCAGGCAGGATTCGCAGGGCTAATTTCAACATCCCCAGCACCTCAAAAATCAGACCCAAGGCCCAAGGCCCCAAGGCCCGACCCTATGATGGCTGCTTCAGTTTCCTCCACAAGAAACAGCTCATGTCTTCCCAAGTGGTTGGTCATTGCGGTTATCCCGAGGCACGATGGTTCATCATTCTCCTGATTAAACTTGCCATAAATTCATGGTATCCGACATTTTCTGACACACCCAAATCTTCTTGTCGTTTGTTTTTTGTTATATCATGTTATATCTCCAAATTATATCCTCATCTCACTGAAACATAAAGGTTAATTTATATATATATATATATCTGGGTAAATTATAATAATTCACTAACCTGAATTAAGGCCATTTGGGGATGATTTCCCTTACTAACCATGATTCCAGTGAGGTCACAATGAGGTCGTTATAATTTACCCATATATATTAATTATATATAGTCATTGTTATCAATCCCACCATACCCCCCCATGTGGACCTCCGTTCATGAATAGATCCAATACTGAACCCCGTACGCGGTACGCGTAGCGGGTTTTTGTCATGCTGGCATCTGCGTTGGGTCAAAGTATGTAACCATGAAGCATTGACCAAAAGAAGAACATCGATGACAATAAATGACCATCCTGCATAATGATTGGCATTGATAATAATCAATAATGCTTAATCATGGCTAGTACTGGTCAGTAACGGTCAATGCATGGTTAGTTATCTTCTAACCAGTGATTCACAGTGGACAAAACGTGGGGGACAAAATATGGTTTTATCGGGCTTCTTTCGTACTGGATTGGTCGAGAAGATTTACAGGAAAACTCTTAACAATAACGTTTACATCAACATCAAGATTAACATTAGTATTACCCTCTGGTAATTTAACATAGCTATTGCAAATGACCATTTATAGTGGATTTTCCCATTGAAAACGGTGATTTTCCTTAGTTATGTTAGTTTACCAGAGGGTATTTTGTTTTTTTTCCCGGGGTTCAGATGTTCCCAGCATATCGTTGTGAGATGATGGCCCAAGCGTCTCGAGGAATCGTGAAATGCTCACCAGAACAGTTGATTTCCAGGATTTCCACTGTCGCTGGCCACCTGGGCTATGCCCAAACAAAAAGAATGGGGCCTGGGGTAATGTCAAAACCACGGAAAGGGCTGTATATAACAACCTGTATAAATATATATATATATGTTATGTATATCATATAATTATGTATGTATGTATATATATATATATGCACACACATACGAATCATAATATGTACAAGTATGTGTATACATATATTGTATATATTACATATATACATATTATTTTATAATATAATATACTATTGTATCATATTATCCAACAGTGAGAAATGCATTGGGAACCAAAAGTGTGGAGCTACCCTACATCACCATCTTGACCTGCAGCATTTCTGCCTGTCAATACTCCGTCATTGGAAAATATTCCTCATATAGAAAAATCCGTAAATGAACAAACGTACATAAATCCAAACAGAGGATTTCACCTTGCCATGTTTGAATACAAAAGGGTACCGATCCTGCGGGACACGTCTTTGTCTTCGATGTTTTCAGCCAAGGCACATCTTAGTCATTTCCTGGTCATCCATGACACGGTCAGGTCTCTACAGAGTCACTAGCTCCTAGCTTTCACAACCCAAACATGCATAGAACTGTCTATGTTGGGATGTGAATAATAGCCCAAATTATGAACTAGTAAGTAGCTTTTCTCATTGCGAGATCATGCAAGATTTTCCTCAGCTGCACTTTGGGAAGCTGCAGAGTTTCCGAGCTACCGAACAAGCGTTGGCAGCAAAAACCCTGCCTGATCTTAGATATATGCGAATAATATTTAATGAATAATATGTTACATATATATATATATGTATGTATGTCTGTCTGTCTGTCTGTCTCATCTCATGTCTCTCCCTTCGGGGTGTTCCAAAGTGTATGTATGCATGCATGCATGCACGTACGTACGTACGTACGTATGTATGTATGACCAATGTGAACAAATAACCAGAAAAACGTACTTTTTAACTGCAGCTAGATGGTTGTTTGTACTGACCCTTCTTGGCCAAAATCGCAGCCCAGTTTCCTCACTCAACTGATTGAGGCGCTGCCACTCATTGTCAATTTTGAGTTTCTCACGGTAGCACCACTCCTCAGTCTCTTGTCCTTGGTTCTAACGTCCCAAAAAATGTCATGTTTTTTTTCACAGTCACATGGTTGTGGGTCAAAACCCTAGATACCCTAGGTACCCTAAAATAGTTGGTTAATGGGACGGTTATTCCTCCAAATATGGTAACAATAGGTTTTGACCCATCCCCACATAAAGGCAACCATTGATACCCCAAACTCGTTCTCAAATTCCTTGGTTCCTGCGCATTTTCCCTTCAAGTCTAGGAGATGTCCACACATCAAATATGGGGATCAGCACTTATTGACAGCATGTACCCTCTGGGAAACTAACATAACTATGGAAAATCACATTTTTTCATGGGAAAACTCACTATAAATGGCCATTTTCAATAGCTATGTTAAATTACCAGAGGGTATACATTGTGAGACATTGTGAGAAACTGTCTTCTGGAGGGATGAGTATACCCTCTGGCAATCTACCATAGCTGTAGATGATCTACCTGTTAAAAACATGTGCTTTTCATGTATGTTCTATATCTATGTCAAATTACCACTAGATTACAATCCGGTAGTCAAACATGGCAATGGAAAACCCCTAGGACTGGAGGTTTTCATGGGAAACTCATCTATAAATGGATGATTTTCTACATAGAAATACAAAATTTTCCATTTGGTGATGAACATCAATGAAACCCATCAATTTTGGTGTAGTTATTTTATGTTATTTTGGTGTTCACCAGAAGTACAGGATGACCCATGGCCATATGCTTTGCGAATGAAAATAACCTAAGGCCCTAGATGATTTCCCCATGAAGACAGCATTGAAAAATCGCGAATCCCAAAGGTTAATCCCAACAAAAGCCATTAAAGCCCAGTATATAAATCCCAGTGAAATCCCATCAAAACCCCATGGAAAACCCATTGAAATCCCATAGGAATCCTGCTGACTCTCCAAGTGTCTCAGCTTCTCCAAATGCTCGGTGGTCAGGTCCCTCTCCTGCCCAGCCGCCAGCTTTTTGAACAGCCCACGGGGGTGATGATTTACGCTTGGGGTCTAGAAAAAACAGCAAACATGTGCTGGTTGGTGGTGCAATAACCATCTTGAAAAATATGAAAGTCAATGGGAAGGATGACATCCCATATATGAAATGGAAAATAAAAATCATGTTTGAAACCACCACTTTCTCACTTTCTATTGCGCGCACCGTCACGTGAAACGGTACCCGACTTTTGTAGGGCTAACCCAAGGCAATCAGAGCTTTGTCTAATCCAGCAATATGGCCAACGTAAGGCAGTGCATCAATAGCCTTTGTTTGTCTCTGGAACGTATGAGGGATGCAGGCATACATCCACGCATCAATCGCATGCAGTCGTTGAGCAGGCCACGGAAGTGCAAACAGGCCTGTGTGCATACAGACCATTTTCGATTCAGGGAGCCCAACTGCAAAGCTGATAGATTGTCCAAGATGACGTAGGCATTCTTTAAGGATTTTGATGAACCACCTTGTCCTCTGACGAAAAGTGAAACCTCTCAACGCAAGGTGCGGCACCTTTGCACCATCTTTCCACCCCTTGTCCTTTACGGGACCCGGGTTTCCTGTTGATCCCATAAAATCCGCGTAAAGTTGTTGATGCGAAATCCACACCATGGGAGCATTGCTTGTAAAGAGAACATCCCAAAACCAGCTCAAAATTAAACGCACAACCTCTTCTCCATACCACCTGATTGCAGCTCCTGGCAGAGCGAAAGGCTTGAGCCCATTCCACGCTGGCAGAGGCAGAATGGCACTACTAGGACGGTCGAGTTCGTTAGGTGTCTCAGCTGCGGTTTGCTCTCTTACAACTTCTTGACTGACCTGCAAGAGTACACTGTGCACCACATGATTAATGGATTCCACATATGCGAGCGCTTGAGTGTGCCGGTGAAAGAGCTGCCAGAAAACCTCTTGCCTACGTAAGTTAGCAGCGACCGCTTCTCTGTCTGCAATTGCATTGTGACGGAAACTCCATTCCTCAGCTGGGGAAATTGCTGAGTGAACTGGTCGGTGGGCTGCCACTTTGGCAACAGCGATCTGTCCTGGGTGACTCTGAACAATGCAAGCGATGCGGGTCCAGAGGTCGGAATGTGAGCTACCAATGTTCACTTGGGATCCCGCTAAGATTCGACTGAGTCTTTTCACCACTGCATCACTATCTGTCCAAACTGTAACCTTGGCATGGGAGGCAACGGCAAACTCGATGGCACGTAGTGCTGCAAAAACCTCAGCACGGACTGCACTCTGGAGCAGGCCTGGAAGTGGTCCACTTTCCACGATCTGGGTCTGCTGCAAGTCATCAAGGTCTAAAGACGCAAGAACTACCGCCCATGCCGCAAAACGCTTGTGTGGTTGGTTTTGATAAAGGCAGCTACCATCTGTGAAAACATGCATGATCTTGAACCCTGGGCATGCTTGAGGCGGGGCGGGTTCAGGCAGGGCAGCAAAATACGACCACCATTCGTGCAGGGTGGACGGCTTGAGGTCCCATCCATAACATGTCACAGCTTCTGGCAAATTGACAATATCCTGGAGGACAACTGCAGGGACAGACTTCCTCACCTGGGCAAAACGTTCACAAATCCAAAACCTATGGAATCTGCTATCACTACATGCACAGTATGGGCAAAGGTCGTCTTCACTTTCCCGACAGTATTTTTTGGCATCCTGGGTCACGTGAGTGCCATTTAGGAGTTTACGATAGAGGGCCTGGTCACTGACATTCTGGTGAGAGGGCCATTCTCTTGTAGATTGCGGCCAGACCTGGTTCAATTCTCGCAAACCTCCTCTGTGGGAGACGACACTGGCAACAACATGCAACCATTGCCACTCCACTCTCACTTTCAATTCAGCACAGGAGACCTCGAATAATGAGAAGGGCCCAAATGAATCTACCAATGCACCCTGTTCATTAACATGCCACCCCAAGCTTTGGACGCGCTTCATCAAAGTTGCTGTAATGCTGTTGTGCACTGGGAAGGAGTCATGTGCCATTCCTGCCAATGTTTCCTGCACCACGTCTGGCTTCCCGCAATCTTTGATGAAGCGAAACGTTTGAAAAATGCTCCAAAACTGTGGATCAGCCAAAGGATCTTCCACAAGGCCAAGGTGCAAATGCGCATTGCTACCAGAATGGTCCTCACGCAACCCTTTCATTGCTCCCGCTCTTAAAGATTGGAATGTGGCAAGACTGATGGTGGTTGCGGCTATGGCATGGAGGCCACGTGGCCAGGCAGCAGTCTTAATGGCACGAACTTTGAGTGAGTACCCACAACTTGACAACCTTAACCGAGGCCAAAGACAGCTGAGGCTTTGAACTCTTTCCATCTGCACACCATTTGTGTGTTGCTTGGTGACCTGGATTTGGGCTCCAAGGCTCTTGCAGCAAGCAGACAGTGCATAGCCTTGGTTGCGTAGCTTTTTACGTCCTTCAAAGTGCACTGCCCAAACATGTGACTTCCTCCTGTCAAGCAAAAGGTCAAGTTCCTGGACTAACAAGTCAAGAGTTTGGTATGCTGACTGCATGAGGTCAGGATTGCATAGCAAAAGCTGCCAGTCATCCACATATGAGATCGGTTGAACACTGGGCATGTAATGCCGGAACCATTCGTGGAAAATGACATCAATTACCATCATGGCAACACATGAAAGTGCATCCCCTTCTGGGAACCCGCAGGAGGAAAAAAGTTCCGGGCTCAATGATGCACGAATTTGAAACCTACGTGGCATGGCACTAAGGGCCCCTGCCCATCCAACCAGAGTAGGTAATGGGACTCCAATGATTGCACAGGCCTCCATCACAACCAACCGAGGGAGCATATTGAAAGCCTTTTGCAGGTCTGCTAGCAAGCCACAAAGTTGGACATCATGCTGCTGGGCATGTTCGATAGTCCACAAAACCTGTGACCAAACCTGGCCCGCAAAGCATTTCGGCCTGGATCCAAACAGTCCTACTGGCAAAACTGGGTCAAGCGCTTTGAGGATGATTTTAGAGAAGTGAGACCCCCAACACCGATACAAAATGCCAAAAACAGTGATAGGCCTAAAATCCATTGGTGCGCACGGCGTTTCAGTTTTTGCAAGGCTGGTTACCCTTCCTGCAATTACCTGTCTAGGCCATTCACCAGTTTCTTCTGCCCACCGGAACATGTCACAGAAGTTCTGAAGGGCGGCAATTGGCTGAGCTTGCAGGTCTTTGAGAGTCACTCCATCAAGTCCATGCGAGGTGGCTTTCTTCTTCAAACCTATGGAACCCCGCAGCATTTGGGGGGTCATCGGCTCATGTTCAATGTGAACCTGGGGCAATTTGTCACGTGCAAAATTCAAAATGGCATTCCAACGTTCAGGAGGAACCGATGTGTGCCTATCCCATTTTGTCTTCCACGCGTCCATGAATGCTTGAAACAACTCAACGTCACTTCCCCGAGGTGTCAGTTGCACAACCCGATCCCCAGGGGACATGTGTGAAACATCAGCCACCCAGATACAATCATCTTCAGCGTGTATGATTTCAAGGAGCTGGCCCTTGCACGACACTGGTTGCGAAACACCAACATCAAACGCTTGGTCAAGGGAAATAGAGCAATCATCATGATTCACTTCCACAACTGTTGCTTCTTTGGGCTGCAGGAGGAGATTGATCCCCTTGTCGGCATGGGACCGGCTGTCCTGGAAAATGAGATTAGGGTTCATTTCTCGCCTCAACCTAGCGTATGCTCTTGAAGATTTCTTCAACTGCGCTTCAAATGCTCTCACCGCTAATGAAACTGAGTCACATATGCGAGAAGCAATGTCAGCTGAAGGCGGGCAAACAGGCACGCAAGTAGGCGCTCCATGAACTCTGAATGCACATTCATTCCACCATGTACAAAAGGAGGGTTGGAATCCCCTAGCACGAAAAATGGAACCCCACAAGGCTAAGGCATGCTTACAGAACAAGTCATCCGCATGATCTCTGGCAAAATGCACATACGATTGCAGTCAAATGTTTGAAACCACCAACCAGTGTGGCTCTGAAATGATAAAATGGAAATTGTAATTTCTATCATGGGACACTATATATAACCAACTATATATAGTAGTATGAGATGTGGGTTTGTATGAATATGGACATATCCCCAGTGGCCATATTTTACTAGGGAACATACGATGAGAATCGGAATTGGGAGTACCCTTAGGAAACATGATTCCAAGCCAACTACACTTACGACAATCCGCTACCTACTGGTTGGTTGATAGGAGGTTCCAAAAAAAAAACAAAAAAAAAGATGAGCAGATAGACCCACCATCAACCAACCTATCAACCAGAAAAGGGGTATCAACCATTAATCTCCATTAAGTAATTAGTCTGGATTATTGATTAGTACGAGTACATGACCCAGACTAGTCCAGCCAGCCAACCAATTAACTAGTTGCTCACCATGTTGCCCGCTGGTAATTCACCATGTCGACCCAACTACAGCTGGGCATTTTGTGGATTATAACCCCAATTTCGTTATACCCTCTGGTAATTTAACATAGCTATTGAAAATGGCCATAGAAATAGTTGATTTACCCATTAAAAATGGTGGATCTTTCCAGTTCGCTATGTTAAATTACCAGAGGGTACACTTACTGTAGCTGTTGATGCTTGGTAGAGTCCATGTTCCCAACTAACCATCTGGCTTTCTCCCCAAAAAAAGGCTACCCAAGAAAAGGGAGAATCATGAGAAACTATCAGAAAGGTGTGTTCACTATGTCATATATTCTTTTAAAGTTTAAAACACATGTTATATATTATATATAAGTATCCAAAACATGTCATGTGTTTTTTCTAAGTACATATATCTATATATATATATATAGATATAGATATTCTCTACAATATATAGATATGAAGAAATATCCACAGCCATGGAAGACGTGGTGAGTTCAATCACCCCTTGGAATCCAAACTCAGTTTTTCTTGCGAATCCCTTTAGATCCATAACCATCCCCCAACTCGTGGCTTTATCCAACTGTTCGAATCATGGTTGGTTATATCTCCCATATATTTCTTTCCTCTATGAATCTAGAATATCCCAAACAGAAAATTTCTATATGCATTATTGTTTCTTTCATTATGGCATCATGGTTTCTATCCGACTATAATCATCCTTAAAATAGAATCTGGATTGTTCAAGCAATCCTGCCTACAAATACCATGTTCTATTTACTTCATAATGACAATCCAAATAGACAATCAAACAAGTTTCCCTATCTCAATAGTAATTATTCTATATATATATATATAGAGAGAGAGTACCTTTTCAAAATAGATAATCTCAACAAACACCAACTATGATCCAAAATTGAACAATGCATGGCTATTTGGTGAAAAATCATACTTATATTATATTCATCTATCTACCATTAAATTAGCATCTTGAACCTTGTTCATCCAAACCATGAAAAAAAACAATAATGACCTACCATGTTCCAACAAGATACAAGTAGAACTGTCTGACTGACTACTGGCTGACGAAATAAGAATTGCGTGATTTGCCGATATTAACATATATTAACATATATTGACATATATTAACATATAGCAACATATATTGACATATATTAACATATAATTCTCAACATATCAACATATATTAACATATATCAACATATATCAACATATATTAACTATTATGAAACTATTATGTGATATCGATACCTAATATCCTAATGTTCCAACAGATACCATGATGATCCACGGCGAGTTCCTCGCCTCTGAGAGCCGCTGCCAGGCCCCGCGGAGCTGTTCGCGCTCCGCATCCTGACACATTAGAGAGAGTGAACCTGGGGATATCAATGGGTGATATAATCTTTATGTGTATTATAATATATATATACACAGTATTATAAATGTATGTATATATATATATATATACAGTATTATATATATATATACACATTATTATATATACACTGTGTACACTGTATATATATATATGTGAGGTTTCCTAAGTGATAGGAGTACCCCCCCAGTACCCAGCTATCATCCTTTGCATTTTCGGATGTTCCATGCAATAAACCATCTTTTTGGGGTACCCCCATTTCATACATATATATATAATATAATTAATTGGATATAGAATGATAATGAATTATATAGAGATGTGATATTCATAAGAATGGTCAGAATGTCTTATATATATTATATACATATAAAACATAAAACCCTATGAATCCAGGCATACCTTCTCAAAAGATGCTGCTGGCTGCTGCTGGCTCCTGGCTTCGGTCGTAGCTTCTATTCAGAAGTGTTTGGATCCACAGGAATACATCCCTATGGATCCAAATACTTTAACATCTATAACTGAGAAGGTTGCCACTTGGTGGCTGATGCCAGTGCCTTTTGGACATATCCCCCTTCTGGCAATGATTTACCAATAGGTTGGAACAACTTATGAAGTGGGCGGATGTTCTGAAACCTTAGCCTTAGCCTTCCTGGCGATAGAGAGTTATTCAAAGTGGAACACTTTCATGTGTGAGATGCTTTTTCGACCTTAAGATCCAGTTGCTACTCCATCATCACCGTTGCTACCACAGCAAACCCACGCAGCTGGGACGGAGGGCGGCTCATTAATGGGAGTTACACACCCGCCAAGCGTATATCTTGTAGCATCTAATTATGACTAACAGTTTGCCATGGAAAATCACCATGCTATTAATAGGTAAACCATCTATAAATGGGCCATTTTCCATGGCTATGTTAAATAACCAGAGGGTATAATGTCAGGCTCAGAGTTTGACAATAGCAGAACAAGAACCATGGTCTCGGTACATTGGGAATTCGTTGTAATGGATTTACCCTCTGGTGTCATCAAACATGGCTGGACAATCCTCAAACTAAATGGCGGCTTTCCCAGAAACCCATGTTTGATGACACCGGACACCGGAGGGTATAGCCATTAGTAAAGTATCCTTTTATAACCTATTATTATCCCATGATTATCCCTATAAAACCATGTTGATGGCGCTATGACCATCCGCAAAACACAAATCCTTCAAATTCAAGTTGTCAAAGTTGGTGGAAAACCTGAGATGACTATCCACAAACGTCGCCAACCCTTCAAAAATCATGAGAACATCCACATCCACCATGGTTTTCTCTGAAAAAAACGCAGCCCCCAATGGCCCATGCGATCCAAGCATCGAGAGACGCCAGGAGTCGACGAAAGGAGCTCTCAATCAGCGGTTCCGGCTCCATCTTTTCGGCCGGTCACTTGAGCCACGAATTTCAGGTGCCAGGTGTTCCCATTGGTTGTATTCTTTGGGGGTTTAGTAATTAGGCTGAACATGATTACTTTGGGATACTTTGGTCTGAAAATCGGTCTCGTGCCTCCATGAATGGTGATCCGAACAGTTTGGTACGGAACTTGTGTTGCCGATCTGAAGCAGAAACAAAGATGTTACCCTTTCTTGTCATTAAACATAGCAATGGGAAATCTCCTACAAATGGACATGGGCCAATGGGCCAATGGGGAAATCATCTATGTTTACAGAGATTGAAAACATTGCTATGTTTGATTACCGGATGGTATCAATAGTTTCGATTGCAATTGTGATACTTGGCTGGAAACACACGTCCTGTTCGTCACTTTGTTTTGTGCAAAATGTTGATTTGGAGTGCAAAAAAATCATGAAACCGCAAAAAAAATGTAACGTTCACTTGTTTTTTGGGCAACCCCCATTCTCAAAATCAACCATAATGATTCAAATATTTCCTCATCAACAATTTCGGAATTGGAGACACCCACATGCCGCTTTCGAAATGGAAATATACTGTTCTCCAACATAGGCTACCGCCGCTGATGGTTTAGAACCTCATTTTCCCATTGGAAACCCCAGGCGTAAGCGGGAAATACATGAAAATACCCTACTTATCCCACAGAAAAAAAAACAGAGATATGGTGCCAAAGTCATAGAGGTACCCCTTAAATCATGAAGTCATGACCATTTTAATCCATGACTTAGTATTGAAACCCAGGGTGACTTGGGGTACCCTCTGGTAATTTCTTACATAACTATTGAACATGGCCCAGTCGAAATAGTTGATTTACCCATTAAAAATGGTGGATCTTTCCATCGTTTTTGGTATGTTCACCAGAGGCTACCTCCGTGTTCCGTTCGGAAACCTCCACGGCGTGGCGCCATGGAATCGGCTGTCGGGCCTGCGCCAGCTTGGCTTTCGCCGGCTCCATCAAAGAGGTGTGGAAGCCGCCGGAGGTCTTCAAGACCTGCTGTGACCGAAAGCAATAAAGTTGTGATGGTTCATGATGGTTAGTACAATGGTTAATATGATATGATATACAGTAATATAATGTAATATAAGTATAATATAATGTAATATAATATAATATAATGTAATAAATATAATATAAATATAGTATAATATAATATAATATGATATGATATAATATAATATAGTATTATACAATATAATACAATGCTTAATAGCATGGTTAATCTACAGCTGAATAATGGTTAATATCATGGTCAATAATAGGGCTATTAATATGGTGAAATATGGTAAATAAAAAAATAAGAATGCCCAATAATGGTTAATTACGTGTTACTAATGGTTAATAATGGTGTATAATGATTACAATGTGGGGCCCCCTAGTTATGAGTTGGTTTATAAACCCCATTTAGCAGTATTTCTAAGATGTTATAAGTATCATACACCATAGTTTTTGGAGTTATACACCAACTTCAAGCTATCGGACCGGTGCCCCACAATCGTTTCGTGAAGCTGTGGCTGACGGGGATATAACGAACCAATCTATGGTTATATAAAATGGGTAAAATCTGGTATATAACCTGGTTGGTGGTATACCTACCCCTCTGAAAAATATATTCGTTCGTCAGTTGGGATGATATGATATTCCCAATCTATATGGAAAGTCATAAAATTCCATGGTTCCAAAGCACCAAGCAGTAACTATAACATATATATTCTGGAAGTAAAACCTATGTCATTGGGCTACCCCAAATCATCCAACACATGGACAGGGTCTCGGTGTTTTGGATCACACCCTGAAACTTGCAGCCAGCTATGGGGATGATTCTCCGAAGCCTCAGCTTTCGATTGTAAAACTCATGGTCAATCCCTATCTTCAGCCCTTAAACATCTTAAACACGCAGATTCACTATGGTTTAAAATGTTTTAAAACATGATGAAACATAATTAAACCACATATTTGGGACCATAGAATGGGGCTGTTTAATATCTTCATGGGGGAGGATTCATGGTTACTTAATGATCAACTGGGGATTGGTCAATTCTAGTTATTAGGGTACCTAAGCTTGATCCCAACTCTACGTTATGTGGAGTATAAGAAGGGTTTGATGGTAGATATATATATATATGTATACATATATATGTATATATATATATGTATATATATATATATATTGTATATATATATATATTGTATATATATATATGTACATAGTTAAAGGGGTAATTATTGGGCATTGGGGATTGGCAAAACCCTACCCGGATGGTACCCCAAAATAGCTGGCCTAGCTGGTGACCCATGCCGATCTTGAGCTATGGTATACTTTCATATATTGAGTAATTATCCGGAATAAAACAAAGTAACAACAAATAATGTGGGACCATTTACTCGGCATCACCAACCAGAAAAAAAAAACACTGACATCCAGTAACGAACGGGACGATATCAAACATTGGGATGATATTAAACCACTTCGAGATAAAAGCATGTACCTAATTAGTCCACAAGTTATTGGAGTGATGTTTAGCCGTTTAGCAACTTAGCTAGATTCTCACTGGGGCCGTAACACACGTACAACATCACTTCGATGTTCCCATCAATTGATTTAATCCCATTGAGAGAAATCCCATATGGCCCATATCCTATGAAAATGGTGACGATGTTCATCAGCTGAATCAGTTAGTTCTTGGATCTAAGTCCCAAAGTCTTCACATTCAAATAATCTTAAGTTGGTTGTATGAGTTTTTATATCTTCCATTGCATCATTTCTATCAGATTCAATCCCTATGTCTGATGATAAAAAAGCCACTTTTCTCATGATGTTTGCTGGCTCCAGCTCCATGAAAAATCCCAGTCATATCTTCCATGAAATATCCCAGTAAGTCAGTAAGTCCCGTAAGTCCCTGTTTCTGCTGATTAAATCCATTGTTTTCATCATTGTTGGTTTAAAAAATCCCATGATATCACCATGATATCACCATCTGACTCCGATCTCCGACCTTCGCCTGGAGGGCTCCACCGCTATCAGCCAACTCCTAGACCACGCGAAAAGGCATGGGGATCTGATGGGTAATACCCATGCGCTCCATGCTGGTATATTTACCTACAAAACTGGGCCATTTTTGGGGTAAATGTAGGTAAATATTCCATACATGGAGCATCTGGGATATAATGTACTGGTTGGTGGTATACCTACCCCTCTGAAAATATGAGTTTGTTGGTTGGGGTTACTATCCTAATATATCAGTAATTGATATAATTATATGATATAATGTAGTATTACATGGAGAGATGTACATAAATAATATGATCACTATGACTGTGACTGACCAATGTTTGGTCCGAAAATGCGGGATGTAGACGATGTAGACTAGCCCCATTTATGGCCTTGTAAAAATAGGGATACTGATTCATCTGATTTATGTTTTGCAGCTGTAAACTCTGTAAACTCTGTTATAGAATTTGCTCACAGAATCTCAGAACAAACAAGACAAATGAATGACAACACATATTACCTGATAGAAGAAACGTATATTGCCTTAGCTGTCATGCAGCAATGCACCAGAATCAGTCACAAAGACTCGGTATTCAGTCCATCCAGATTCCACATAATTTGGTTGAGGGACATTCCATTGCCGTCTTGATTACCCTCTGGTAAACTAACATAGCTATGGAAAATCACTATTTTTAATGGGTAAATCCACTATAAATGGTGATTTTCAATAGCCATGTTAGTTTAACCAGAGGGTACCAAAGGGAAACTTTCACAGAAATGCATAGGTATAATAGGTATGAGTGAATTGCTGAACCCGAATGACGACTCAAGTTGAAGCAATTTTACCAGAAGCATATGCGGTCATAGGGCCACAAGGAAGAATGCAGCCCAAGTCTAATGCTTTCGAAGAAAGGCTAATATCATTCCAAGATATTCCAAGTGCTTCGAAGATCATGATGTCATTGCAAGTCTGACCCGAGTAGATGATCTGATGATCTAGGACTCTAGGAATCTTCGGTGGTTAAAAAAAATGTAAAAACCTCTCTTGTTGAGGAACCATGGCCAACCATAGTGGAGATATGCTGGGGATATTTTTTGGGATAACAGTGATAACAGGACAACTGAGTGGGATATCATGAGAATTCATGAATATTCATGTTGTTTTTGCTGGATAAGCTCCCACAGCTTTAAGGATTTTTGGCTGTTTACATGGTCCCATAAGTGGATCACATCAGGTCCTTGAGCTTGTTGATAGCTGTCTCTGTGCCAGCGCAAGAGAATCCTGCAGAATTGCAGTTGTCAGTGCTGATATTATCTGATACAGCGAGAACTGCAGCACGAAATCGTCTTCAATTTATGGATTCGTGGCAACAACAAATCGGACTTTCGATATCTTTCAAGAGTGCCCTCCAGTGAATCCTCACCAGCTTGGGAAACCGTGAACGAAAAATCTCGTGGCTATCCCCATGATCAACTGCTGCATTTGGGCATTTGGCCACTAGTTCCATGATGTGCCATGCAATTTTTTACCTGCAAACCAACATGAGTCGCTAGGGGGTTGAGACAACAACTCGCTCCCATCCCCCAGACCTTTCGGGAAGAGCTCATTGGCAATCTGACAGACGCCCTGCAAAATGAACGGAAGAAGTACTGTACTGGGGACATGGCAAAATTGTTTGGTTATCTCAACAGCAATACGGTTCAATGCCAGGAACTGGTCAATCTTACTGTCTGTAGGGATGCATATTTTGAAAGACTAAAAAACTGGGACCCGGGACTGTATGAAGCAATAATTGGTTGGTGGTATACCTACCCCTCCGAAAAATCTATTCGTTCGTCAATTGGGATGATGACATTCCCATACATTCCCAATATATGGAAAGTCATAAAAGTCATGTTCCAAACCACCAACCAGATATCTCATTAACCATTATTAACCATTATTAACCATCATCAACCATTAATATCCTTAATATCCCATTGGTTAATGGTTACCAAATAAACATGGCAGGCTTCACCGAAATCGCCCTTTTTAGACCAGCAATTTCACCCAAAGCCACCAACAATGCTGCAAGGAGAGCCATGAGACCAATCGCCCCGGCGATGTGACTCCACGATCACACTTCCGCAAGCTAAATGTTATAAGCACAGCAGCACTATCATTACCAAGCATCAAGCACCAAGCATCAAGCACCAATCATCATCATCATCATCATCATCATCATCATCATTCTTCAGTGTCTCTACTGTTTTTGCTTGTCCACTCCTAAGTCGCCCTTGAAATGCAAACATTTACAAAGCCAACAAAAACTGCTGCGCGAGCCATGCCCACCCCATAGACTCTAACGATATATTATATAAATTTATATAATATAATGCTATGACTATTATATACTATTATACTATGTAATATTCTGCGAAACCCACGTTGCTGGTATTGCCCATCTTTAATGGCTTAAGACAAAGACAAATCCAGTTGGATGGCTAAATCCGCCATTTTTCAAACAAAGCTCCACTTCTCGTATTGCTTGACTCTCCAAAGTATATCTTTATCATATCCCATGCAATGTTTCTAGGGTTTATCATGGTGGCCTAAATTCTTCATCATGGCTTTGCTAATAGGGGCTAACTAACATAACTATATGGAAAAGATCACTTAAAATTTCAAAAATCGGAGAAAATCATGAAAATCCACTATAAATGGATGGCCATTTTCAATAGCTACTAGGTGTATGTTAGTCATTACCAGAGTCTAATAGGGGCATCATCTGCAAAGCAGTTCCACCAAGCTACGAATCGATCCCAGGGGTCCTAGGGGTCCCAGGCTCATCCGCAAGCTACCTATTGAATCCCTAGATTTCCGCGATAAAATAGGTGTTTTGATCACTGAGAATCTGGATGAATAGGAATTGAAATCCCTATTTTCTGGAAAACTCTTGGTGTTTTTCACTGAGACCCAAATTTTGATCACTGAATCATGAAAGAAATCCCCATGTTGTCATTGTGAACTCATGAAAAATTACATCTTGAAATCATTTCAAGTCCCATCTTGCGATGGAGTACCCGATGTTTTTTCGCAGTTCCATCTTTGATAGTAAAAGTTAATCTTTGATAGAACAGGATGTAAAATTGTTTAAAGACGTTTAAAGATCAAAGAATCTTCCAAAACCTATACCCTACTTGGTTGGTTATGGCGGGATTTTCCCAACAGAGGTGGTTTGGGACTTATCCATACAAGGTGATCCCCTCCCCAGTTATAAGTTGGTTACATAGTCAGCTTAAAAAACCCACACATACTCTACATATTCTACTATAAACCATACCCTCTGGTAAACTAACATAACTATGGAAAATCACCATTTTTAATGGGAAAATCCACTATTTCTATGGTGATTTTCAATAGCTATGTTAGTCATTACCAGAGGGTACTGAATCTAGTGAACTAAAACCAACTTGGGCACTCATTAGCTAGTTCCATCTACCATAAAGTGGGCCCGCCTTAGCACCTTCGAACTTGCGGGCCTCCTCGCCTGAGTCAACCACATCCATGCTTTCAGAGAGATACTGTATAAATGATGTATATATACATATGATATATGATATTATAGGGATTTATAGGGTGTTATATATGTTTACTGTACAATGATATATGATATTACAGGGTGTTATATGTTTATATATTCTTATATGTGGTGTTATATGTTTATATGTGATTATATATGTTTATATGTGATTATATATGGTGACAATTTACCATCTTATCAATTTAGCCCCAGGTAAATCCAAGTAATCCAATATTTCAATATGTCCCTGGAAAATCTCCGATGGTTTTTCAATGTCTCCTTCAAATCTGGGCAGTATAAGGCCACTTCCCAGAGGGATTTGCTGCCAAAATCACCAACGAAACCAACTCATGCGAAAAACGCATGTGGATCCCACAAGGACTCCATTCTCCCACTTCATGAAATTCTAGTTGGTTACTAGTTGTTTGAAAACGGTGTCCGATTCATATGAGTTAGTGCATAATCCCCAATTTTGCCACGTAGTCAACTCCTCATAATGACCCAACAAGGGCATTTGTTATGTCTCATGTGGCGTTTCTTTACATGCTGGATTTCCCATCACCGAAAAGGCCAAAGGGAGATCAGGGATATTTAAAAAAACGTTTGAAACACTTCATTGGATAAAGTTATGTTAAAATTGTCCTTAGTTTATCACCAACTTTTCCACCAAGGGTTATGAACATAAGATGGTTTACAATCACACCGGTTGAAACATGGGGATTTCCATAAGGAACTTATCATAACCTGCATAACCGACTTTTCATGGGGATTTCACCATTGGTAAACCAAGGAGTTCCACGTTCCACCTATGGAAATCCCCGGAAATCGCAACGTCCACTGGGTGTCCCCAACAGAGACCTGACAACTTCTCCTTTTCAAAGCCAGCCACAGAGAGCATCGCCTGGTCCCAGGCGAAAGCATGGAGACACAACTGGGAAGACAGGAGTCTGCAACTAGAATATGTATATTACGTATATATTATATATAATATAATGTGTCTAGAATGTATATGTGATATAAACCTGTATATATATATATATTATAGCATATTATAGCATATATACATATATGGTTTGAAGATATTTGAAGAAATGCATGCCAAGGAATGTGAACAGATCATTAACAAACATCATGCAGTGACATCAAACCACACGATCTCATCCCATTAGCTCCACATGGCGATGTTCCAGTTCCCTATGCGAAATGACCAGAGGCTAATCCAATCTAATCCATATTCTCAACCATTATCATAATCAGTATTCACCATTCTTGACCATTATCTATCAATATTGGTCTATATGGTTAATGTATGTTAATGTGTCATTATTCCATATCTAATCCAATCTAATCAGTATTCACCATTATTGACCATTGTTACTAATCAATATTGACTAACCAATAAGTGAATAATGGTCAATCAGTATTACTAACCAATGAACAAATCCAATTGAAGATGCTTCAGTTTGAAGATCCCATGCCGAAAAATATGCGGTGTAGCTTATCCGATTAACCTCAATTAGTTCTGGATGGATTAGAAAGAATAGGACGTTTGGATACCTTTGGTCTCTTTGTCTGTTGAACATCCTCCTTTTCCATCCTTTTATATACTTACCAAAAAAAAACAGATTCTCTTACGCACGCACTGACAATTTCTGCTTGGCATCTCTGCAATGGCTAAACGAAACAAAAAAAAACATGACAACACCCAACTCTCTGCCACTACTCTCCCCCTTTGGGTGTGCAATCTTGTTTTGTTTTTTTTGTGTGTTGATTTTTGGTTGTTTTTTTTCGGTTTCTTGTTTTCTGGTTCCTTGTTGTTTTTTTTGAAGGGCTGGCAAAACAACACAAAAGTGAAGGACCTAGACCTGACTCTTTGCCAGTTCTCCCACTTTAGGGGTTGCAAACTTGCTTTTGATTGTTTTATTGTTTGCTTTGGGTCTGTGGTTCCATTAGAAAACCATGTAAAAAAACATGGCAAAATGCAGGTATCACTGGGGGAAGCTTAGGGGGCTTGGGACACAGATTAGGCAATTTTGTCTGTTTATGTAATTTTTCAAAATGTGCTTAATAAACATTGCAAAAACATAGGCAGTCCTTGAATTTGTCAAACTGATTTGGATATTGACATTGTTGAGTCAAACCCTTAAGTCAACACATGTTCAAACACTTTAGATGATTCCCTTGACAAGGAGTGATGCATCTCTTTGAAGTGAGTGCTCCCTTCAACAAGTGTATTTCTTGTTAAATGGTAGAGCATCCCAGTAATGATCAGTATATAAAGTAGGACATGTCTTAGTCTACTTGTATGTCAAAAATAAACCCTGTTGCACATGCAATGCCCTTTTCACAATATGTTTTCTTCAATGAAGAACACATGGTACATGTAAGCATGTAAAATTTGAAAATATGTCCGTCACAATTGCACATAAATTCTCTGAATGCATAATGTGATATTCTTCCAAGACAACGAACCATATTCTGAGAATAACACCCTTTGATGTAGGCAGCTCTCCTCTTGAAACATATTGTAATTTGAAAAAATGTGCATCTTTAAATCCTAAGACAATCAAACATTGATTGAACATGTGGTATACTGTATGCATGTAGCACTCTTTTGAAAGAGTAGAGTCGTCCTTGAAGAATCTGTTGTATTATTGTGTGCAACAACCCCTTGATATGAGTGAGATATTCGATTAAACGAATACACTATTGTTGGATAGTATTGAAACAATTTCTTTAAGTGAGAGTTGTCTAAATGAAGGCTGGGCTGATCTAACCAAGGGGAAGAGTACACACGTCACACAAAAGTAATCCAACTTTCCAAGAATGCTGCTTCTCCACAGGAAGATTGTGTTGCATGCCCTATACGACAATATTATATTGTAAGAAGCGGAAAAAAAAAAAACATTCTTTAATAATGCTCACAGTTTCAAACATATTGCACTTTTGAAAGGGATGCTCTATGTCAATAATTCTGCACATATTGTGCAGGAATATTGACTTTTCTAAAAGGCTTTCAAAGGAAGCTTAGACATCTGGAAATGCACACTGCACTCCTTCAAAGGGCATGGTGCAACTTTTGAAGGAAAACATCATATTTTGTTTGGATATTGTCCCTGCAAAAACACACTGCATTGCCCCAAAGGAAGATTACTCTTATTCAGAAGGGTATGTTTTTTTGAATACTGCATTTGTTGGCAGGTATGGGGATGTTGTAATTATGTTGAAGACATCTAGCATATTCTGCAGAAATTGTGTTTTGTTGAAGGGACGCTGTATATAGTAGCATTGATCTAAGGTAGACTGAACACCTGGACACTTCTTCAAGCAATACATACTCTGTAGTGGACATGAACACCGTTTCATCTGTAGCTTAAGCTTTAACATGTGATTACAGTCTTGAAAGAAAAAACAATAAAAAGGCACTCTCACAGCGTCCTGCTCTCGAAAAAAACTACTTTTCGGCTGCGAAACTCTCATCCAAAAATGTCCCAAGCGATTCTGGAGGCTGTACCTGCTTCCCGATGGAGGCTGCGTCCTGCATGGCTGCACCACCTGTGACCCGCTGCTGAGTCTTTTGGTGGGGGGAGAATGGCTTTAAAATTGGGAATGTCAGAAATGGACTAGGTCCAATTAATATCAACAGTAGAGTCAAATGCAACATAGGATACACATGCGTTGATGTCAAAGACAAAAACAAACATATAAAGACATACATATATATATATACACATACTAATTATATAAGGTCATAATTAAATATACCCGCAAGTAAACGTCGTTAAGTCACCCCAGCCGCATGGAAACATCTACACGTGCTGACTTAGAGCGACAAAAACATTTGGCAAAACACAATGGGCACGCTATCTGAAGATGATGAAGGTCCTGTATGATATAACATATAATATAAATATAATATATATAATATATTATATATAATATAATATATAATATATAATATATATAATATAAAATATATAATATAAAATGTATAAAATAAAATATATAATATACAATATATAAAATATAATACAGTATATAATATATAAAATATAATATATAATATATAATATATAATATATAATATATAATATATAATATATAATATAATATATAATATATAATATATAATATATAATATAATATATTATATATAATATAATATATTATATATAATATAATACATAATATATAATATATAATATATAATATATAATATATTATATATTATATATAATATATAATACATAATATATAATATATAATATATAATATATAATATATAATATATTATATATAATATATAATATATAATATATTATATATTATATATTATATATAATATATAATATCTAATATATAATATCTGATATATTATATAATATACAATATATAATATAATATATAATATAATATATATATATATATTACATATAATATATAATTATATAATATAAAATATCTCATATATAATATATAAATATGTATATACTATATATAGTTACATATATATATATATATATATATCATATATATATAACACGTATATATATATATATGTGGTTGATTGATAGGCTTGCAAGACATGAGGGGGTAGGATTGAGCATCCGGACGAAGTTGAACGAGCTTCAAACCATCCTGTAGCATGATGCAATGCATGGTTTATGATCATCCCAGAATGGGAACCCTTGGAATCCTGTAGCAATGCGTTAATATCAACCGGGTATATACAGCAGTCATAATATATCCATGATTTCAATATATGAAACATATGGTTTATGGTAGATATATCAAACTAGTTAATGGGGTTTATAAACCAACTTATAACTGGGGGGCCCCACATACCTTTGCCACATCTGTTTCCGGCATCTCGGCGGCTCCTTTTGTGACTCCGGGCTGCCTTTTTTGGCATAATTCGAAGGCGCTTACCCCGCTCCAGGGACTCTAGGTTTTTCGACACAATCAATGACAATCAATGAGAATCATGGGTTATACCATGGGTTAATATTAATGGATTAGTATGGGTTACAGTAATATGGGTTGGTTATACTATGGGTTATATCATGGTTAATTACATGAAAAGACATTGACCGTTGACATGGCACTGCAGCTTCCCTGCTTCACTTTGGCATCGCTTTTCCCTTTCTGTGGAACTGTGAGCACATCCTGAGCCGGGTTTCTTTGCATCCACGTTTAGAAGACACCTCCTTGAATTGAAACAAGACAACATAAGTCACTTCTATATGATTTGAACATGCTCAAAGAACATATGTAATTGTCTGTAGCTCTGACTTCCGAGTTCATGCTAGCGAACTACAGTAAGCTGCAGAGTGATATGTCAAAGACTCAGCAGCAAGAGAGCGCGCATTTGCGCTCATGTGCGGTCCCTCTTTAAATCACGTTGAACCATGTGTTGACCAATTTTCACATCTTTGTCGACCCTCCTTGAACCCTCCTTCAACCTTTTTGGGACCTTTGGAATGCACCACATTGCACCACATCAACATTGTTCAAAATCCCTCTGTCATTCATTATACTGGTCGGTTAAGCACAGGATTCCCCGGATTCTTATCATCCCCAATTAATCTGGGGGTAGTATTACCATCTGGTTATTTAACACAGCCATGGAAAATCACCATGCTATCAATAGGTAAACCATCTATAAATGGGCCATCTATACCATGGCTATGTTAGTCATAACCAGAGGGTATATCCCATTCATATCCCATTGAATCACTATAAAATCCCATAAAAAAAAACATTATAAAATCCCATTAAATCACTATAAAATCCCATTGAATCACTATAAAATCCCATTAAATCGCTATAAAATCCCATTGAATCACTATAAAATCCCATGAAAAATCACTATAAAATCCCACTAAATCACTATAATATCCCAGTCATAACCAGAGGGTATCCCCAAACGAATCATCAACCAACAGGCCCAACAGGGATTTTCAACGACTCCCAAGCTTCGATCTTTCGATGCTGGTTGTTGGATCAGCAGCAGCTTTGGGCTCGTACTTCGATGGTCCTAGTACGCTCCTGGCGAAAAACGAACGTAACAGGCATGGAAAAATGCCCAGATTATCCAAGTAGTTAGCCATTGATCAGAAAATGCGGGCCTTAACAAACCATTTATCACCATTATCAGAAAATGTGGGCCCAAGGGGCCATCAAAAACACGGCAGAATGTCCTGAGATGGACGAAGTCCTCCAAGAAGTGACTTTGAACCTAGGAATTCAAGCTTTGGCGTAACATTGGTGAATTCGTGAATGCTACCCTCCGGTAAACGTTTACAGTCCGCTATTGAAGCATGGCCCATTGAATTAGTTGATTTAGTCATGAAAATAGCATGGTGGATCTTTCCATTGTTTTTGGTACCATTTGGTTATCTAACATAGCCATGGAAAATCACCATGCCATTAAGTTCGGTAAACCCAGGTAAACCATCTATTTCTGCCATCTATACCATGGCAAACTGTTAGTCATAACCAGAGGGTATATCCTATTAATATCCCATTGAATCACTATAAAATCCCATTAAATCACTATAAAATCCCATTGAACCACTATAATATCCCATTAAACCAGAGGGTAACTAGTTTATAGATGTCCAGCTGGATGTAACTCTCCAGGTCTCACTCGTGGCGGGTGATCCTGGTTCGCATCGGTTCGCATCTCTGGTTCGTCCACTCGCCGTCATATGGCTTGCTTCAAAACGGGATCCACAGTGAAAATGGATGAGGATCATCCTATATATCAACAAATCCCATATATACATAAAGATGACAGAAGGGGTATAGGTAATATGTTAATTGAACATCTCAAAAAATATCATCAACAATAATTTAAGTATTCAATCATCATTTTATCTATCCCCCATTCACATCCCCACAGGATGGTGCCCCCCAGTTAGAAGTTGGTTTATAAACCCCATTAACTAGTCGTTATATCTACCATAAACATCCGTAAACCTTAGCATTCAAGCACCCAGTTGAAGCCAAAGCACTGCATGTAGGTTTGCAGGCGTCAGGCAGCCACAGGACACGTTCATTCGCTTCGCCTAAAGGCGAACAGCAATATAATAGCTGGGACTCATGGATGTACCAAGAAGCAAACAAATACATTATATTTCAAATGTATTTCAACGTATTTCCACATATGTCAATGTATCTCAACGTATTTCAATGTATTTCTTACTGCATTTCTTCATGTATTTCAAAGGTTTTGATCTATCCCCATAGCCCGGTGTTCGCAATCCATCAATGTTGAGTCAATAGGGAGCATCATCCCAATACTATATGATATATTATTTATTATCATCATATATTATAATTTATTGTATTATGTTATATTATATATTATTATATTATATTATATTGTATTGTATTATATTGTATTACATAATATAATATAATATTATATCATATTATATTATATTATACTGTATGTTATTATATTATAGTATATTATGATATACATTATTTTTTTATCATACATCATATCATACTATATTGTATCATGATATATTATAGTACCTGGTATACTATGTGTTATGTTATTAGATTATATATCATATCATATCATATAATATCATATTATATTATATTATATTATATTACATCATATTCATATATATATATATATATATTCATATATGGTCCATATATGGCAATTCAATAAAGCATCGAGATACAAAAAAACAAGGCAAGCTTTGCCCAAGGGCGCGAGAAGTTTCTATATGCTTTGCCTCATCCCCCCCTCGGAAGACAGCTGGGTTTGTAACGACTGGCACATTTTTCATTACCCTCCGATGTCATCAACGACAATTGGAGATCTCCTATGAATGGAGGTTTATAGCTGGGAAAATACATGGGAAAACCATCTAATATGGGAAAGAATCACTATGAATGGAGGTTTCTAACCGGGAAAATCATGTATAAATGATCTTCCATTGCCATGTTTAAGTACTGAAGGGTCACCGAAGAGCTTTGAAACCCCAGTTTTTGTTCGGCGTCACCGCGTCCAATCTCACCAGAAGCTGCCCAGGTCTGACGAGGCACCACATGAGAATGGCTGTTGCTACTGTGCAAGTCGACGTGACTCAAGCGTGGGTCCATCTTGTGGATGTCGCTTTCCTGGGACCCGGGCGGTTAGAGTCTGGCGAATCTGAGAGATAAGCAGTGATAAGTGAGGAACGACCACTGACTATTTCTGTCGGTAAGCCTTAGAATCTGTCGGACTGGCAGGATTTCACCGGTGAATCCATATGGTTTTCTGGTTGGTGGTTGAGACCTACGCCTCTGAAAAATATGTGTCATTTGGGATCATGACATTCCCAACTGAATGGAAAAACAAAAATCATGTTCCAAACCACCAACCAGTTTTTGTTTTTCCCCTCTTTTCTTTGCCAAAAAGTCATCTCCATGGCCATCGTTGTTTCCACGTTTCCCAACGAGTCACCAAATGCTGAGACAAAGGGATCATCTTGTCCACCTTCGAAGCATAGCCTAGCCCATCTTTCGGACCAGGCTGAGTTGGGCTGTTGAAATTTCAATAGAAAAAGCTGGTGAAAAATATGAGTTCGTCAATGGGAAGGATTATCCTCATATATATTATGGAAAATAAAAACATGTTTGAAACCACCAACCAGTAAATGTTCGGTTGTTTCATCATCGAACCAAAAGGCATCTTGTGTTGCTATAATCCAAATGGAAATAGACAGTGAAGTGTTCTGTAGGAAGGCAACACCCAAGCCATCATAGGAATGTTTACTCCACTAGTTGGGGGGACATCACCATCAACACCAACGCCAAGCGGTTGGTTTAACGGCAAATGCCTGGGGTTTGCCCGCAGCCCCACTGTTTTTAAGCTTCCAAAACGGTAAACCCGAAAGCCGCAAATCCTAAAACCCTAAGCCATAGAACCCCAAATTCTAAGACCCTAACCCTCAAACCCTAAATCACTGTATATAGCTAGCGTTTTTGCAACTCAATCGAAAGGTGATCTTGCAACTTGCACCTATAATAAATATTTATGTACAGTTAAATAATACATTATATTACAGTACATACATAGATACATATATTACATTGACATTGACAATTACATTTACATTACGTTACAATACATAACACAATATAATATAACATAGCATAAAATACATTGTCATATATTATCATACATGATCATACATGTACATATGAGAACACCAGCAGCGTACTGGCAACTTGAAGCACATTGCAGGCACGCAGCACCACTGTGGGATGAGATGGCAATCTTCCACGTCAGAGTCCTGCTCGTACCTACGCGGAAGTCGCCACGTGTCAAGTACTACTGAGGTCAGTAGTTAAGATATGGAAAGATCAGAAGCCCTTCCATTTCACAACAAGTCACTTGCCGATTTTGTGGGTCTCTTGTGGTTATCTAAACTGGCACTTCATCACAATTCATCTAATACAGTGAAAATAGACACTATCCAACCTGTTTGCTGGATTGTTTCTTGTGATTAAATGTCCTTCTTTGATTGACCAAAGTATCTAATATTGCTGACTACAATCCCCCTTCGCCGTATTGTGATGATTCAACGATATTCAACGTTTGATTCGATGATGATTCGATGGTGGTGATGATGACAACAACAAGGACGACTATGATGATGAAGTCGACGATGCTGGCGACGAACAGGAGAACGAACAGGACGGCAGCAATGGCAAGGAAGATAAATAGAGAAGGGCAAGAATTGAAGGTATGGGTTTGTCTGAAAAGGTACTCCTCCAATTCCAAAGGATTCTCATCATTTTGCATCATTTTGCAATATCCTCGCATTTTCCCCCCATTTCAATGGCCCATGGGCGCCATTCATTTTGCAAAGACAGGCCGCGGCCCGGTGGATGAAACGTCCCAGCAAGCCCGATGGGTCACTTCTTCATGACCAAGGTCACCCACTTATTGAAAGTGGTGCAATTGGGCTCTTCGTGGTAGTGCAAGCCATCTTTTTGATACCTGGGGCCCGGGCCCGGGATGAATAACCCAGGATGGCCTGGATTTCGCTGCTCGCTGGAGTCGAAAATCTGTTCAATGAGAATGACCGCTACTGTACTGTCTGCACCTTCAAAAAAAGATCTTAAAAAACTTGGACATTGCGATGCACCACATCCATCCATCAACCCAGGTATCAACCTCCCATCAGCGGAGTCCCAGCAGTCCCAGGTACGCTTGATACCATCCTTGCAATCGAGCCCAAGCAAACTCCGACACCAAGCGATCGCAAACATCACGTACCACCGCCCAGCTATCTGGCACATGCTCCTGGCGATGCCCGATATCCTGCATCCTGTATGGTTTTGTAAGATCTTAAGTAAGAACTTTCTATACTCATTTCGGAAGAAACCACAAAAGATAGGAGGTTCATGTCATGCCTCCGTCAGGCTTGAATCGGGAAGTTCAACTCGCTTTCAGTGAACTACAAAAGAATACAAAAGAAACAAACAAAGTCACAGGAAGTATTGAAATACATATGTATATATATATATACATTACTATACATTAATATATATATATTACTATATTACATATATATATATAAATAATTATAAATATACATATATATATATATATCATGTATATCTATTATATTATATATACATATACATATATATATATATACATATATTATACATATACAGTTTATATACATCCAAAATGAGCGTTGTTGGGGCTTCAAGTGCCAAATCATCCAAAAATTAGGCCGGGTTTTCGAGATGCGAGTACGACAAGTTGCACTTTGGATTCCCGTAATTCGACAAGTCGCCACTAGAAATACTCATCCCATCTGCTACTAGTTGGTTACTATATGGATGTGGGTCAAAATGGAAGACCTAGGGGACCACAAATGTTAGTCTAGTTTAGTATTAACCATCCAATTATTGGGGTACCTAATTTTGACCCATACCCATATATTCTGTTTTTATGGGTTGCAATAGTTTTCATTAGTTTTCAAAACCACGTAGAAAAAACAGTATAATCCCCAACAAACTAACCAATCAACAAAGGCATTTTGTTGATGGTTCAACTGTGGTCCCTGGAAGCACAGGTCTTTGGCGCCGCACCCTCCTTGGGAGGGTTGTGCTTCATGCAAAAAAAGGCCACCTCAGGATACCTCCAGCGGTATCCGTTGTCCGATGCTGGGATCAGGACCCGCCGTCCCTTGATGGTTTGATGGTTGTGGTGATGATGATGATGATGATGATGATGGTGATGGCAAAGGTGGTGCTGGTGGTGGCGGCAGCTTTTGGTCGCTAGGTTTACATGTGATTACATGGTTTACATGGCGATCGTGCTACCAATATCATCCTGCCTGCCCGAGTCCGTGTAGTTGGGACCCAGTGCCTTCCAAATCGAGGTGCCTGACCGGCATTTTGCTGGACAAGACAGCCCACATGAACAACTCTCCGTAAAAGAAGAACAAAGAAGATGTATCCTGAGCCTCTTGAGTCTCAGATACTTTATATATGGAGAAATTGACCAATCTTGTTGAGTGCTCAGGCAACTTATCCAACTTCCGTGTGCGACTTTTTGAGGCTCATCTCACCTGGAATTCCAGAATTGCCACATCGCCATGAAAAAGCCATGAAAAAAACATGAAACAACCCTATGGGCCGTATAGATTCATGGCTATAGAAGCCATCCCCTTTTCTCTGGCACCAACCAAAAACTGAAACGGCCCTGGGCCACGGCAATGGCCATATGGCACAGACATCCCATCCCATCCTGCTGTCTTTGGGATGTGCACGAATAAAGGTCCTTGAAGGTCATCCCTGGCACCCAATTTGACCAGTTTTCATACGGAAAATGATTGGAAAATGGGAAAATAATGGGAAAATGATGAGAAAATGGTTGGACAATTCTGGGGAAAATGATGGGAAATGGTGGGAAAATTATGGGAAAATGGTGGGAAAATGATACGGAAATTGTGGATAGATGAACATGAACATGATGATAAACTGGGTTTTCCCTATTTTTTTCAGAGAAACTCTGGTGATTCAGCCAGCAAACCTCTTGCTCGTTTGTGTTTTTTGTGGATGAAAATCACATGTGTCTGAAGCCACCAGCCAGTCAGGCATTCATGTAGAGTTGCTTCCTTACTTAAACGGATTTGTCCGTAGTTATAAGGTCATAAGGTCCAGAAGTCATTTTACATCTGGGGGTGCACGTGTTCGTCCCCTCACATCATCAATGAAACAAAAGAACAAACAGCAAAAGACCATCACTTCTATTGCTCACAGCATCCGGAGCAATGCTGTTGCTTATATGCCTCAGCTATGTCCATCCACCTCATGGACACCCCGCCTCAAGAGCCCTTTGGGCAGCGTTTTCTTCCGCTTCGCTGGCGTCTCTAACACTACGGCCACACAGGGCCATGCTGCAAGGAGCAGCAACCAACGTGGCAGCACGTCATACTTCATTGTGCTGCGGGTCTCTTAGACCCGCTTGAGCAGAGTCGCAGAAAATCGTGGCATTTGGTGGACCTGGAAAAGGCACAGCCCAAGCACTGAAAGATGATTTCCATCTGCAATCATGGAACAAAAAGAGCTCCAGCCTCCCGCTTATTGTATATAGATGTATATAGTTGATGGTGGTGCTATGTGTTCACATTTCCAGGCAACAATGGTCTTTGCTCTGAAACCTATGGTATTCCAGTATTCCTGTAAATTGTCTCTTCATCAAGAGTCATATGCCAATCGCAGTCCTCAAAAGTAAACGCTCCAGCTGCGCAAAGGGCGGTATATTCACCTGCACACACATGGAGTCCCTAGAGAAATTGGAGAATTTCAATTGGATTTTCAGGACCCCTATCCATGAAGGTACCATATTGTTGGCCTAATATTTTCTGGGGAAAAACAGTGGATATTCCCTTTCATAGCTACATAGGCCAAACATAATATGGTAAGTGCCTCTATTTTAGGTCCTTGAAATGGGAAGTGTTAAAATCACTGAGGCTGGATGGTGATGGCCCGATCGGGCATGGTTGGGACTCAACAAAAAAATCCAAGATGCCCTTGGAAATCCTAGGATGTACTATTTTTCCATAGAAGTTGTGACTAGCTCAACCCCTGTTACAGCTGTTGGTTGACGACTAGTTCGGGGGTGATGCTATTCAATCCAAGTTGACACATGGATAATTAAACTATATTAAACTTATCTGATATATATATATATATATTAATTGAATATATCTTTAAGAATGAGGTCATTTTGAGCAACCTTTAGCCCAGCTTTACCGCACCCCATCGCCATCATCACACCCATCCCTATCGCACCCAAGGAGAGACCAGCAGCAGCTTCGAAACGAGTGGCATGCTGGCGCGGAACGGCGCTGAACGCAACACCCGAGGACCGGTGATTCATCTTAAGCAACGCCCCCATAGTAACGGATATAATATATGATATAACGGATGTGAATGAAGCACAATCCTACTGGAATCCTACCGGAAGAGTTCACTGGAGGCATATCCGAGAGCCAACGCCTTTGTTCTCGGCATCTCCCAGCTTCTGCACTTTTCATCAATGGAAACCCCTTTCAAAAGGCTGTGCAGATGCCATGGCAATTCTTGGGTTTGAGAAATGAGTTTCTACAGCATTCACCTAGCATTCACCTGAAGTAGGTGGAAAGGATCTATCTCAAATCTTGAAAAGTACCGTACTTTTTACTGTACCCTTCGACCGCTGTGGGTCCAACTTCATGATGTATGCAGCCATCCCAGTCACATCCCCATGGAATGTCGAGGTCTCACCGTCTAAAACCCCCCCAGATTTTCGCCATGATCCGGTTGAAAACCCCATGGCAGGCGCACATCAGACTTCTCACTCTTCAGCTTCTCAACCGCTGCGAGTCTGAAGTGGATGAAGTTTTAAGGAGGAAAGAAGCCTTTCTTGGTGGTAATTTCTTTGGATGCTGTCCTTTTGGGTAAACGTTCACATAGATGTGAAAAAAAACATGGGCAAAGTGGTCTGGAACATGATCTACATTCATGGTGGGTAAACTCCACTTCAAGCTGTTAGTGATCCACGAGGGTGATCAACGTTGAGATTTCAAACATCAAATAAGGTGAACTGGGGAAGCCACAATCACCAAACTTGTCAGACAGGGAGGTGTTTCTCAGGAATTGCCGAAGTCAAGGTACTACACGAATTGCTACAACAGAAGGCATAAAGTTAGCAAAGAAGACCTTGGGTATGTAAGATCGTCGGTATATTATGAAATGTATTGACATGTGCTATATTGTATATGTTGATATATTTTGATATATTTTGTTTCATATATCATGTAACCATAGAATACCGTACAATCCATATTAACACCGCCTACCTTTTCGCTCAGACCATTCAGCCCGACTTCAGTTTTCTCCTTGGTCAATCTTGGTCCCCACGCCCAGCAAGGAACATCACAGGCTGGCAGAAGCGGGTCTCCTCCAACTTGGCCTAGCAGGATGCGGGCGGTACCGGCTGAAAGATGCTGAAGGTGTTCTTTCATCCCGTCCCCGTAATGTTAAATACTACCATAGAAATTAGAAACCCTGTTGTCTAGTCTTGGATCAATAATTTTTTGGGGGAATTCAGAAGAGGGAAAGTAATATCAGGTATATGGGGTTGTAATAAACACATATCAACAATATATAACATGCACCAACCGGCTTGAGGGCCATTGATCTTATCACTGGCATTCACGGGCCTGCTGGAAAATGGGGAATTTCTGGGATGCCTGTTCGGATCCGTGGTGTATAATCTGTTTTACCCTATAATCCCATATGAAGTGGTGTATAAGTATAATCCATATATAATCCATATAATCCCATATATTTAATAGGGAATATGCCATATGTATATATATATATAACTAGGGGCAGAACCCAGACTTACTAGATGGGGCCCCCACCCCCAAGTAGCTATGCCAGCTATGCCCGAAAGACCTTTACACAAAAGCGTTGTGCAGTTAGCGATGTCTGAGGACTATATATATATATGTATGTATATACTGCATGTGATATAGATATGTATATAATTATCATAATGTGTACATATATATATATATATGTATGTACATATATATATATATATATACATACATATATATATATACATATATATATATACATATATATATATATATACATTGCTGGTTGGTGGTTTCAACCCCCCTGAAAAATATTCGTCAGATTGGATCATCATCCCAACGATTGGGGAAAAAGGAGCCTCTGGGCCCTGCAAGCACAGATCCAATACATCATAACCTGGCGAGTTCGATATGGGAGTGGCCACACGGCCCCAAAGAGGGGCTTTGGCGAGTTCGATCTGGGAGTGGCCACACGGCCCCAAAGAGGGGCTTTGGCGAGTTCGATATGGGAGTGGCCACACTGCCCCAAAGAGGGGCTTTTGGGGCCCCATCAAAAGTAGAGGTTTTATATGGTCTTATATGGTCTTATATGGTTTTATATAGTTTTCTATGGTTTTATATTGTTTTATATGGTTTTATATGGTTTTAAGTTAGTTTAAACATTGGTTTTATATGGTGTTGTTCCCATCAAATATGGGGAAAATTGGCTCTTCCATTGGGCTGGTTTAGGAGGAATGTGAAGTGGAAACGATAGCTTTTGCATGTCAAATATGTATACTCTATAAATATGTCAGGCTTTCTTGCAGGTTTTCCTTTGAAGCGATTCTGGGACTATGGAAAAACATCTACATATATCTATATTGAGAAACTCAATGAAACGACATCAGAAATATCAGTTGCCATCTGAAACTCTCATCAATTGGATCCCAAAAACGTCTCCGGCTCCCAATCCCTCCTAGAATGTCCTTGGCAGAGCTCAGCATTCCCTGGCGGAAAATCATGGCACTGGGATGCCCCCGTGACCAAATCTCGCGAACTGGAACTCTGGAATTGCACCCCCAAAGTCGTGAGTTTTCACTGGTTGGTGGCGCAATAACCATCTTGAAAAATGATGGAGTCGTCAGTTGGGAAGGATTATCCCATATAATTATTGTGGAAAATAAAACATGTTCCAAACCACCAACCAGCAATTTTCATCATGTTTCATCTGCAGTTGCTTTTCATGTCTCAGTCTCTTCAAATGCAGGAATCGCCAAAGAAAATCTTGGGAGCCCGTTTACGTGCACTTCAGTTTTGTAGATGCATCCAAAATCAAGAAGAGATTGTGAATTCTGCAGAAGCCTTTACTATTCCACCCTGGTGTACAGTAGATGCAGTTTACAACTCCCACACACGGCCCAAAAGACTGATGATTGCCAGTGTTTCTCGTCAACTACGGCGCTGTGCAAGCACAGAAAAGATCAGACTTTGGCACTTTAGGCCGAACGTCATGCGCATCGCAAAAATCGAACTACGTGTCTGCTTTGGAAGAACCAGTCAAGGTGCAAACCGAAAAAAAACATCAGAGCATCGCATCATTGATCGACTGCCTAAAGGGATCCTAGGAGCTATTCTGGTATTTTTTTTTGAAATAGTTTTTCTCTGAAAATCGGGTACCTTCAATTCCAATGGGCTTGTCATCCATATGAGAAATGATATTTCGGGATATATATTTTCAGATACCCTCTGGTAATTTAACATAGCTATTGAAAATGGCCATTTATAGTGAGTTTTCCCATTAACAATGGTGATTTTCCATAGTTATGTTAGTTTACCAGAGGGTACACCCAAATATTCTCAATTGCAAGTACTGAAAACCAGAATGGGATGCGTCCCATCACAAAAAACTGCTTGTGACAATACTGCGAGGTGTTCAACCTCACGCGACACTGTCTATGGGTGTTTTGCTTTGCTTGGGCTTGATCCAAAGGGTACACCCCTGAAATCTAAACTGGATGGAATGACAATGGATATTATTAGTTTTATATAGTTTTATTAGTTTTATTCAATATAGATCAATATAGAAAGAACATGATGGACATGGCAATTTTTCATGTCCATGTTGGATTTTTGAGGTGCCCCTCCAGCCACAGGCAACAAAATGCATTGGTGGCGTGGCTACCAGCAGACTCTTTTCTGCCTGCTTTTTCACAGCAAGATTTCAACAACTCCAGACCTTTTCACGCGAAGAGCTCCAAAAGACAGTATTGGACACCACAACAGACTCCATCATGACCCCATCATTTGTGTAAAATGCGAGTACGCTAGTAATTCTAGTGGCTGGAGATGTCTTCAGCATTGTTCAGCCACTTTTGCTACTGGAAAATCTTGATGTATGAGATGTTGAAGTAGGCCCTTTGCTGCAGGTACTGATCCGTGCCGTACCTGACAGCGAAGGACGGCTGTTGAGGAATGAGTGGAGGCGATGTGGTTTTTTCTGGTTATGGTGATGCTTTTGGTGATGCGGATGCTGATGCTGATGATGCTGATGATGCTGATGACTCTGACTCTGAAGATTCACAATCACAATAATGACCATTACTCTCTGGTAGTTCCATGACTTTCCCAGCTCTCTTTTTCTCTCTCTCTCTCTCTATATAATATATATATATACTTTCAGGTTGTCATGTCAAGCGGCCCAAGTAACCAAACACGGCGGACATAGCTATGGAAGTCCATGTTTTTCCCGGAAATGATCTACAAATGATGGATTCAAATCATTGATGTGATCTACATAATTTGATGTTAAAGTTAATTATATATATATATATATTGACTAGTTTACTGGAGGGTATACTGGTATACCCTTGATTCCAGGTTGAGACACCGAAAATGTCCTCATGCAGCAGTTTTTTGGCACCTGTTGTCTGGATCCCAAATGAACTTCGTACAGCAATCCTGGTGACAAACACGGAAAAAACATCACAATCGGTGTGTGTGTGTGTGTGTCAAAATGATCAAAATGGGAAACCCACAATTCCACTGGTTTATCATCATTTTTGGGAATTCCGGGGAATAGATATTCCAAGTTTATGACAATATTAATATTAATATTCCATAATAGATATTAATATCTATTAATATTGTCATATTTTGAGGAATTACCATTGACCAACCCACATCGGGAGGAGAAAACATGGAAAATCCTCAAGGTGAGGGACGAGGCTTCCGCTTGAAACTGGGGATTTCTCAGGTTTGAAAATCGATTCCTGCAGAAGATTATGATCTAAAGCATTCAAAAGCCCTAAAGTTCAACATTCAAGCAGAAATTGTGGGTCAAACCAACGATTTTGGACAAACTCATAAATCAATGTATATATATATAATTATATATGTAAAATAAAACAAAATAAAATATAATATAATAAAATAAAATATAATATAATATAATATATCAGAATCTATAGAATTATAATTATAATTTAACGTATAATAATGCAAACAATATATATAAATATACACATAACATATACTATATTATATTATATTATATGATATTATATTATATGATATTATATTAAATTATATTATGTTATATATATATATATTATATTATATTATGTTATATTATATCATATCATATCATGTATAATACATATAATGTAATGTATATATAATATAAAGTCTATATAACAAACATTTAGATATATATATATTATTAGATTATATTATATTATATTAAATTATATTATATTATATTGTATTATATTATATTATATTATATACAAATATATTATATTATATATAATACATATAATGTAATATATATAATATAAAGTCTATATAACAAACATTTATATAATATATTTATATATAATATATTTAATATATAATATATATATATAGTATACCCGCTGGTAAACTAGCGTAACTATGGAAAATCACCATTTTTAATGGGAAAATCCACTATAAATCACCATTTTCAATAGCTATGTTAGTTTACCAGAGGGTAATATAACATATATAGATATATAGCATGTATGAATCTTTTGAGGGCTCGTCCAGTGCCCCAATTCGCCCCTCCTCCTGTGGAGCGTACCTGGGCTTCACGCCGGTTTCTATCCCCGAAGTAACTTGATTTAATGGATTTATAGTGATTCAATGGGATATTAATGAAATATACCCTCTGGTTATTTAACATAGCCATGGAAAATCCATTATAAATGGAGGGTTTCTAGCTGGGAAAATCATCTATAAACCGAGGTTTCCGAAGTCATGGGGGTACCCCTAGTTCTCATCCATAGATAGAATTTCCATCACAAAGCATCCAGCTATTGGGGTACCCCCATTTATGGAAACCTCCAAATAATGGTTTTTCCATTGCCACCTTTGATTACCAGAGGCGAAACAGTGAGAACCGCCCATTTTGTTCCGGGAAAGAAGTCAGACATCAGCCCCGCTTTGGTCCCCTGTACGTCCATGGCCAAACGTTATTTTCCCTGGACGTTTCACCGCCCTGGGACATACCATGTTATACCCAGGGACCCGAGGATTTTAGACCTATGAAAATCACCTGTGGCCTGCACCCCCCCCACGTAATACCGTAGTTATGTCATACAGTTGGCTATGGAAAATCACCATTTTGAAGTTCGGTCAACCAACTAAATGGCCATGGCTTCAAGTTCGCAAAGTGTAACAAATGACCAGAGGCTATTAACATGTATTAACTTACTGGTGCTAAACGCAGAGAATTTTCGGGAATGATCCACAATAATATCAAGCAGATCATCCCAGCAACCCCCAGCAACCCATCCAGCAACCCTACGTTTAGCCCCAGTAAGTTAACCATGGTGAAATCAGTGTAGCTGAGACGAGCCACTCTCTCAATGGATCCACAGCCCGGCAGTTCTGCGCCCTCGTTCGTGCGCGATGATGGCGGCTTTGCGGATCCCAAAAGCTGTTATCATGTGGGGATATGTGGGGTATGTTGGAAAAGAGCACATCATGATCACAAAGTCACTATTATGATTTAGACCATCTACTGGCCTCTATGTCTGTGGTCAGCATACCCCCACCTCCAGGCATGTAAGAGTCCATGTCGCAGTCCACGTCGCAGTCCACGTAAGAGATCATGTGAAAGACATTGCCCATAACAAGCCAAAATAAACCCATAATTGAAGCCCATCATGCCTTTTTCAGGGGGGAATACCCCTGAACCGTTCATTCTCCGTTCTGAACCGTTCTGAACCGTTCAGAAACCTTTACATGGGTTGTTACGTGAGTTCTTACGTGAGTTCTTACGTGAGTTCTTACGTAGGTTTTTCATGCCTTTTTCAGGGGGAATACCCCTGAACCGTTCATTCTCCGTTCTGAACCGTTCTGAACCGTTCAGGGGGGAGGTAAAAACAGCCAAAAACCACGTAAGAAACCACGTAAGAAACCAGGCCAAAAAAACAGTCCTTGGAAGGGGTTGGACAGGTTAGGTTCTCTCCCAGTGTGTCACGGGCTAAACCAGTGGCCACTGACCACGTGCGCCTTGCCATAGCCATAACTAGGCTCACAGTCACCCATTTTCATGAGTCACACCACTCACATGGGCTTATGAGTGAACATCAACTGACAATACAACGCCACATACATACAATACAAAGATTGTTCAAAGGCCCATTATTTACATGATTTCTTACGTCAACTCTTACGTAGAAAAGACCCATCTCTTACGTCCACCTCTGGGAGACGTCAGAAACCAGCCAATAAAGAGGCTAATGGCACCTCTAAATTATGATGATATAGTTATAAAACCTATAAATGCACTTCTCAGCGGCTGCAAGTCTGATTCACCTATGAATATTTATGGAAAAACTTCCCCATGAAATACATCTGAGCCCCCAATTTCTGATCCAATACCTTCCAGCAGCTTTCTTTGTTAAAAAAAAACCTCTGGTACTCAAAGATGACAATGGACAATGCATGAAATTACCATCAACATGCAGGTTTATAGCTGGGA